CATTAGCCAAACTACCAAACTCCAGATTCAGGGTAAGGGAAAAGATATTGTTTTCAGTTAGCTTTTCTTTTCTTTCTTTCTTTTCTTTTTTTTAGAAGAGAAAAATCATTTGCTGATGTTTGTGTTATACATTTACAGTTAAAAATGTTTTCCAGCTGAGTGTGGTGTCACATGCCTGTGATCCCCCAGCACTTGGGAAGTGAAGGCAAGAAGTATTCACAGTTCATTTTTTGCTAGAACTAGTCTAGGATTCATGAAACCATGTTTCAAACAAAACAACAAAAGTATCTCAATACTGAGGAAGGAGAAGTAGTAGAGTTACAAGTTCAAGGCCATTCTAGTCTATATAATGAGTTAGAGGCTAGGCTAGGCTTCCTAGGGAGACTATGTCTCAAAAACTTGGAAACAAAAGAAACCTAATGACTCTTTTGAGTAATTGTTGGTAAGACCAGCTATGGTGCCACATGCCTTTAATCCCAGCATTCAGGTAATTTAAAGTAGCAGATTGATGAGTTTGAAGCTAATCTAGGCTATATGATGAATTTCCAACCAACCAGTGTGGTCTAGATAGTTTTTCAGTAGAAGTAGCATCAGTAGCTTCTTTGTACATTAAATGGAAAAGAAGCTTTCTTAAGAAGAAGTAAGATTTATACAAATTAATAGAAAATGTTAACCTATAAAGTAGATCATATCAAACTTTAAATCATGAAATTGAGTATGACAAAGCATAAAAGGAAAATAATGTTTCCAAGAAGTTTTTTAAATGTTTCTGTTGGTGACTTTCAGGGACCCCAGAAGGTTGAAATGCTAGTCAAACGCAAAAAAGGAATTTAGGAGCTCTTGGCAGACTCTGTTGCAGAGACAGGGGGTGTCCACATCAGCTGGACTGGTTCACATCCACAGCAAGTCCAGGCTCGCAGTCTACTTAGAACAGCCTATAGTCAACAACTGATCCTCAGATGTCTGCCAGAAGCAGAAACGTGTTTAAGATATGTTTAAACTAGGAACAGAGGTTAAAACTTATTTACTGAAGCCCACAGTGCAGAAAAAGCAGATATCTGGATATCTGTTCAAACAGCAGGAACATATAATTTTGAGTCCTAGCAATAACTACAGATTTGGGCTAGAAGCAAGTACATTTTTCTTCTGTCCAGAGAGCCAGGTATGGATTGGACAGGGTGCCTTTGGCCTGATAAAAAGCCCTTTAAGTTTATACTTAGATGACAACCAAAATAAACTTAAAAACCTTGAACTTGTGACTGAACAGTAGGTAGTCATTACTTTATCAGCTAACATGCTGAATCTGACAGTCTGATGCTGTCAAGCTGACAACCATTAATATTTCAGAGAAAAGACTGGCCTTGTTTTGTCTAGGCAAAGGGGGTGCAATCAATTTTCCAGCATCCAGCAGCTTTGTCCACAGTCTCAGCCAGGTTCTGGCAGGCGGCAGGTATCACATCTAGGCATCTCGCTCACTGGTCCAGGTGCAGGAACTGGGTGCCTCATAATCTTCTTTGGAGACTTTGGGTCACTGTCAGGATCTGGCAGTCTGTCTGATATTATAAACTTTAAAGATAGCAATTTAAATGCCATATTCTTGAGGTCTCTGCAGCATTAGAGGTCTGTCTGTCTGTTTTAGTTACTTGCCTTAAGCACACAGGTAGCTAGGTAAGGTCTTATTTCTGTAATTATTTTTCAGTCTGACTGTAACTGGTTTTAACTTAGTAAAATATTTGAAACTTAGCAGAGCTGAATTTAAAACTGCATAGAGTTACCTTATAGTTCTTAAATAGCAGCTACATGTACACATTTTAGCTGCTTGCTTAAACTTCTTTCTGAGAAAGTTTTTTTTGTTTTGTTTTGTTTTTTTTTTTTTTATCTTTGTGGCTTTGGAGCCTGTCCTGAAATTGGTTCTGCCGACCAGGCTGGCCTTGAACTCATAAAGATCCACCTGCCTCAGCCTCCAAGTGGTGGGATTAAAGGCATGTGCCACCAAGGCCCTAAACTTAACTTCTGAAACATAAACTGCAACATCTTATAATAGACTAGCAGCCTCTACAAAACAAGAACTTTACCTTGTCAGGCTTTGCTTAAAAAATGATTTAAAATTGAAGCTCTTTAAGTACAAACATTAATAAAAAAGACATTTTTAAAAAAAAAAACATTTAAAAAACTGGTTTTAAAAAGAAATTTAAACTCCCTTAATGTCTTTCTGTAATATATAAAAGTATTAACATTTCAAATCTTAACTGAAAAACTTGTTTCTAAGCTGGTACCTCTAATTTCTATGTGGTCATCTTTAGTCAAGATGGCGGTTTAAGTATTTTTTTTTTTAACTTTAGCAAAATGGCTACCAGTCATTTTGTGCCACGTGGCTCGCTACAAAATGGCGGTGACCCTTACCATTTGTTTTAGCTACATGCTTGTAACAGAACTTAGGTTATGCCAGGAAACAGAACATTTGAAAACAAGTATACATAATTTACATGATAAATAAACAGGACTTTTTAAACAGAATTTACTTAATATGGTTAAAATTTTAACTTATATTACCAATTTTTGAAATTTACTACTTGTAGACATAAGAAACCATGGCAAACAGTTTACATTTTTTTTTCTTTTAACAACCTTTTCTCTGACCTTCTACAACTTGCTTTAATCCTCTATAACTTTTTATATACCTTTGGTTTATTCCTCTGATTTTCTTAGACATTATTATACAAATTTCTCTTTCCCTTTCTCTCTTTATTACTTGAGTACATTCTCTCTCATTTTTCAGTCAACATAAAATTTTTTATCAAAGTCCCTTTTATAGTTTTTAATAACTTTAAGGCCTTTTTTTAGAACATCCAAATCAGACTAGATAGTTCATCCGCCCGAGCTCCATGTGCTCAGGGAAGAGACCTGGGGGTGGGGGGTGCTGCTGCTGGTAATACAGAAACAAAGACCCTTGGCCAATGCAGGGGTGGGAAAAAGACCCTCGAGGCCCCCCTGCATAACATGTGTGTGAAGCACAGAGAAGGCCAGGCAGTTAGGCAGATTGCGGCCTTTCAGCCATGTACCCAGAGCAGGGAAACTCCTGCCACAAGCCAGGACCCACGGCAGGATGGTAGTTGGGGCAGAAACAGCCCCACTTCGCATGCCTCACAGACTGTCAGGTGAAGATAGAAAAACAGACTCACCTACATTGGCCAGGCTCAGCTGTAAGGGCCGTAGCAATGGTTGGAGTTCAGAATAGCAGCCTCAGGGGACTCGGCCGCAACATATCAGATAACACAGATAACAAACCTGCTCCGTCATCCAGCCCATTCCAACCCTCCAAGCCTTACAGAAAACATACAGAAACAAAGCCTGGAAAAGAAAGTTACCTAGTGTAGTGCCACATGACTCAATGAAAGGGGGTATCGTGGTGGATCCTGAATTGAAAACCAACGATGAAAGCACAGAGACAGAATAGACAGGAAAGAACAGATGCCAATCCAATCCGCCAGCGCCGCTAATAAGGCAATGGCTCCGGGAAGATGTGTCGGCAGAACCAGGCGGCTACAATCCCTGCTAACTGAGAAGGGTCCAAGTGTTCTTGGCCTCCATTCGTTCCTCCTGGGTGTCCTCAGGGCAGCAGTCTGTGATCCTCCAGGCACATCTGCCGATCACAGTTTAGGTGGAATCCGGGGATGGGGGTGGTTAGTAAGGAAACAGACACTAACAGCAAAAACAGGACAGACATCAAACAGGATGCCCAAAACCAAAATTACAAACAACCCTTGGACTTTTGTCCAGGTCGGAACCAAGGGTTCCAGAAACACGTCTGCTTCTGACGAACATCTGCTTTCCCTATAGTCCAAATCAAACGACCCTCGGACTTTTGTCCAGGGCGGGACTTCAGAGTCTCAAAACACGTCTGTCTCCCCCTGAGGTCCAAATTACAAATCCAAATCCAAGCCCAAATGTGAGTCCTTCGCAGGCACAGATCAAATTCAAGTCATGGCACCAAACCAACAAAACAGCAAGAGACATAACAAACAAACATGGACATAACATTGAACATATAAGTTTCGAGTTCAAATCATCTTACCTCTAAGATCCACTCATGTGAGGGGTGGTTGCAAATCCAGGACGAGCCCCCACATGTTAGACCCCAGGAAAATTCAGGCCTCCGGTGTCTCTGCCCAGGACCACAGTCACCCCAATCACCAGGCGGATTCGAAAGCTTGCTGCAAACTGCATGAGGCTTTATTGTTGTTTAACGAGCTAACCCCATGTTAGCTCGGGTCTTTCACCCCCCCCGCCATGGCGGATGGCTAGCAAAGACCTGTTTTAAGTTCTTTTGAGAGAACATGAAGTTGGGTAAGTAGGGATGTGGTGAGGATATTCCAGAAGTTGGGGGAGGAGAAACAGTATGATTAAAATGTATTGTATTAAAAAGGTTTTAAATTAAAAATTTAAATATTTGGCTAGCATTTTTAACATTAAGAAACATACTCAGTATTATATTAAAACTGTTCATATCTTAGTATTAACAATTACTTAATTTTTTAATATTTTTAAGAATGAGTATGACTTTTAGTATTTTTCCCAAAGAAATTATGTATATATTTTTAAATATACATAAGGTGCATATTTAAATATATATAGATGCAATATGGCAATGAGAAACATAAAGAATATATAATATATTTAAGAATAATGAATATAATATATGTATATGAGACAGAGTCTTGGTATGTATATAGTCTAGGCTGGCCTTTAACTTATGCTCCTCCTCCCCTAGCATCCAAAATACTAGGCTAAGGGTATGTGCTAGCACCCAGTCTATTTGTGAAATTTTAAAGATGTAGTTTAAAAAGCAAGTTATAAAAAAAACTTGTCATTTCATCTTATTCACAAGCCAATGTAAAGTTATACAACCATTTTTCCAAAGATTATTAATATATTAGTAAAGTAATTAGAACATTTCCAGATTGTTGTTTCCTGTGTTAATTTAGGTACACGTCTCTTTGTTTTCTTTTTCTTGTCTAGTGAACAGATATGATCCAGAACTGTACATGAATCACTTTGGTTGGAGATCGTGAGCATTCAATAATGAGTGGTGCAGCTTTAGGACTTGAGATTGTTTTTGTCTTTTTTCTGGCATTGTTCCTCCTTCATCGATATGGAGACTTTAAGAAACAGCATAGACTTGTAATCATTGGAACACTGCTTGCTTGGTATCTCTGCTTTCTTATTGTCTTCATCCTGCCACTGGATGTCAGTACGGTAAGAGTGAAATTGAGATACAGTTTAAAAGACAGTTATAATCATACAATTTGAAATATGCTTTGAATATTGCTTTGTTAAAGTGACAAAACTATGTGAGGTTATCTTTACATTTTGAATTTCAATGTTTTAGGAATTTAGTTATTAAACAGTATAGCCAGTAAAATAGGTAGGTAGATTTATGAAATACCCTTTAACTACTTGGTGAATTCTTGGTTCTCATTTTAAAACCTTGTATTCATTGCTTTAGACAATATACAACCGATGCAGACATGCTGCTGCAAATTCCAGCCCTCCTGAAAATAACAATGTTACAGGAGTGTATGAACCTGTCACCCCAGCTCCAAGGTACTTTTTCCTACTACTTTTCTGTTTAATATTGCAATTGGTAGTTTTACTATCTTTTATATTTATAAAATTTTCCTATTCCCTATTGTTCCTCCTATTTTCATCCTTGCTAGTATATTTATTATATTGCATGGTGTTTAAATATACATTTTAAATCTATATCAGTATACAATATGGTAGTGAGAAACTTAAAGAATTCTGTTTTCACCCTTTACTAAAATCTAAAACCTCGTATTTACCTCAGTCTGTTTTATATTTAAAAATCATGGACATTCCCAAGTTCCAGAACCATAAATAAATTATAAAGGAGAAGCATTTTCTATTTCATCTAATTTACAAGAGTTCACACAATGCACAACTATAACTCAAGGCCAGCCTCACCTACATAGTTGAAGACTATCCTGGGCTACATGAGATCTTGTTTTTAAAACCTCCAAACATGCACACACACACACACATACACACGCACGCACGCACGCACGCACGCACGCACGCACGCACACACACACACAGAAACTCATACACACAATTAAAAATAATGTTTAAAAGAAACATAATTTCACATGAAGAATAAAGAAATTCAAAATTTCAAAAGGTTATATTGAATTCCTATTAAATTTCCACATCAGAAATTATGTCAGTACTTTGGGGAGTATTTAGGTGCTTCTTTATGCAGATTTTAGAAGAAAATCTTTCTCACTAGGGCCTAGTGAGAAAGCTCAGTCAATACAGAGCTTGCCTCACAATCATAATGACCTGAGTTTGGCCCCCAGAATTCACAGCAAAATGTGCACTTGTCATTCCAATGTGGGGCTCACTGAATGATAACCAGTATAGCCAAACTGATGATCTCCATACCAATTAGAAACCCTGTCTCAAAGGAGTGGAATAGAGCTAATGAGGATAACACCCAAGGATGTCCTCTGACCTTCTTGCACACAGGCACTTAGTTCACACATAGTCATGCAAGATCATCTAACTTGAATAAGGGTAGAATGTTATTCTTTGACTCACCACTCAAAACTAGATGTACATCAGTCATAGTTTGAGGATTTACAAGTCTTTGAATTAAAAAGAGAGCCCCATGGTCTAGAAAACTTTTAAATGGAAGAGTTTATTGTCAGATACTTTTCCTTAGAAAATATGAACAAATTGTGTATACATGTGGGTACTTTTCTGTTCAGAAGCAATAGGGTATCTAATTTAATTAGCATTGTATCCTTCAGGAATTAATCACCTAAATTTCTATTATATTGAATTCCTATTAAATTTCTGTTCTAACCTTCACTACTATATAAAAATAAAGGACAAAATATAGCCAGCCCTACAAATGAGATAGGGCTACAAATGAGATATTTTAAGTGTAATCATTGAGTATTTGATTCCATAAATCCATTAGTTTTTCAAAGCTTTCCATATTATCAGTCATTTAGTTAAATACTAGGGCTTCTTTTCCCTAAATAACTAAAAAATACCCTGGAAATTGAAAAATTAAATAGTATTCCTTTTTAGAGTAAACAGTTTTGTTCCTTTCATGCATAGTGTTTTGTTTGACAGCTTTTTTTAAAATTTTTCTCAGGTTGTTATGATTTGATCAGTAATTATTAATTTGATGTAAATGAACTTTGCTACTCACAAATTTATATAACCTTTCATTTAAGAAATAATTATTTGTGATTAATTGACTTTAAATTGTTATAATAGACAACATCCATGTTTCAAGCCATGGAGTTACATTCCAGATGGGATCATGCCAATTTTTTGGAGGGTAGTTTATTGGACATCACAGTTTTTAACCTGGTAAGTGGCAGTAAAGGATGCATTTTTGGCTAAAGTGATTAATTTTTAGTCAACCTTAATATTTTGAAATTTATATATCCCCTTTTTACTGACTCAATTTTCTCCTGTCTTTAAAAGACAGAATAAAGGAAAGAGAAAAAAGGCAGACAAAAATAGAAAACAGAAATGAAAATTTTTCTTGTGACTCTTCTTTCCATGTCATCCTTGTTTGACCATCAGTCCAATCCTCTTTTAGCTCTGTTATTATATGAAAGTGCTTTTATTAATGTCACCACTTTCCCTTGGTTTCCTTTCTTTAATATGTTTTTGATTGAAATAGAATTACATAACTTCCTCTCTTTCCTCCCTCTGGCCTATTGTGTCTTCTCTTACACCCTTCCCACACCCACACCCACACCCCCAACTCTCAAATTGATAGCCTCTATTTCTTTGATTATTAATGTTTCATAAATCAGTTTCTGTTTTTGTGTATATGGTTACAGCATTGAGCACTCTGCATTGGACAACCATTAAGGGGCTCATCCCTGATAGAGGCCAATTTAATTCTCCCTCTCCCAGCAACTCATGAGTTGTCTGTAGCTCCTGGGCTCAAATAGTGGTTCTCAATCTGTAGGTCATGACCCTTTTGGGGTTGAACAACCCTTTCAGAGGTGTCACCTAAGACTATCAAAAAACACAGGTATTTACATTATTCATAGCAACAAAATTACAGTTATGAAGTAGTAATGAAAATAATTTTATGGTTGGGGAACACTACAACATGAGAAACTGTGCTAGAAGAGTCACAGCATTAGGACAGTTGAGAACCACTGGTCTCAAAGTAGCACCCCACAAAATTTTCTTCTTTCTGTGTTAATATGTCCATAAAATATTGCCACTATTCTGGTTTTATTCATGCAACTATTGTAAGAGAGACTGTTTCACCACAGACTTCTGGTATTCTGCCTCTTAAACATCTTTCCTCTTCCACAATGACTCTCAAGGCATAAATGCAAGAGCTGTGATATAGACTGGGTTGGGAATGGGCTCCCCCTGGTCTCTTGATCTGCATTGTGTCCACTTGTATTTTTCTGTAATGGTCTCCATTTGCTGGAAAGAGAGGCTTCTTTGATGAGTCATAGTAGCTACACCAATCTGTGGGTATAAAGATAAGATTCAGAATATAATAAGGTATTATGCTGGTCTAGAAAAGTGGCAATAGTAGATTGTTTTCTTATGTACATGTCCTCACTAACCTTAGGAAACTGGGTAGGTTTTCAGTACCAGGCATGATTTCCTTCCTGTTGAGTGGACCTTAAATCCAATTAGACAGATGTTGGTTACCACCAACAAATGTGAGTGCCATTATAGATAGCCAGATGCCATACTGGTTATTATTGTGATTCATAGATGGTATAATTGGGTAGGAGGATTTAATTGTTTCTTTCTCTTGGCAGCTTGCATAGTATTTTCTGAAGGAGGCTAGACTGGAGGAAAGAAGCTTTCATGTTAGACCCAGCTCAAATAATCAAGTCTTGGGTCCTAAATATACAACGTCTTTTGCAATAGGGACTTACCCTCTATCCCTGCCTGTGCAAGGGAACCTGTAGCCACGCCTGCTTAGGGGCTGGCTACAGGTCTGCCTGACCACGCCTAAGGGCGTGGTCAGGGTGATGTAGAGTGAGAGGCGGTCAGTGGCTGATCACTTTCAGTTTTGCTTTTTGGCTTGCTGTACAGCCTGCTGCCATGCCAGCTGGCTAGGTCGCTCTGTAAGTAAGGCTTTTCCCTATTAAATACCCTTATATTTCTACCTGACTCTGTATTGGTAATTTCCCACTATATGCCTGCTTGCTCATATATTATCACTTCCTTCATGTATGTTTCCTTTATTTCTGTGACCCAGTTCCTAAATGCTGGTCTTCCCTTGAGCCTTATGTTTAGTCATCTTTACTGCATGTCCCCACATAGCATCAATTACAGCTGTGGTTTTAATAACCAGTAATATACTCCAAGTCTATTTCTCTGCAACCCAATTCCTCATGTTCCCATCCCCACTGGTCCCCAGTCTACCCAGGAGTTTTCTTCTTTTTCCCATTCCCAGGGAAATCCATGCATCCCTGTTGCACTTCAGGCCCTCCTTGTTACCTATCCTCTATGGGGTCGTGGATCATAGCACAGTTATTCTTTATAGCTATTATCTGTCTATGAGTGAGAACATGTTTTTTTGAGTCTGGGTTACCTCACTTAGGATAATTTTTTTTCTAATTCCATCCATTTGCCTTAACATTTCCTGATGTCATTGTTTTTAACAGCTGAATAATATTTCACTGTTTAAATATACCATATTTTCTTTATCCATTCTTTGATTGAGGGACATCTAGGTTGTTTCCAGGTTCTGGCTATTATGAATAACACTGCTATCAACATAGTTGAGCAAGTGTCCTTGTGGTATGATTGAGCTTCCATTGGGTATATGCCCAAGAGTGGTCTTAAGATAGATTGATTCCTAATTTTCTGAGAGACTACCATTTTGATTTTCAAAATAGCTGGCCAACTTTGTATCCCCACTGAGCATCCTCTACTGCATGAGCTGTCACTTGTGTTTTTGCTCTTAGCCATTCAGACAGGTGTAAGATGGAATCTCAGAGTCATTTGATTTGCATTTCCCTGATGGCTAAGGATGTTGAACATTTCTTTAAGTGTGTCTCTGCCATTTGAGATTCCTCTATTGAGAATTGTTTAGATCTCTACCCCATTTTTTAATTTGTTTGTTTGGGTTTTTTGATAACTAGTTTCTTGAGTTCGTTAAATATTTTGGAGATAAGCCCTCTGTGAGGTTGGTGAAGATCTTTTCTCATTCTGTAGGCTGCCATTTTTCCTTGTTGAAAGTATCCTTTGCCTTATAGAAGCTTTTCAGTTTCATGAAGTCCTATTTATAAATTTTTGATCTTAATGTTTATGTGTCCTATTCAGGAAGTTGTCTCCTGTGCCAAAGCATTTAAGGTTATTTCCTACTTTCTCTTCCATTAGGTTCAGTTTAACTGGATTTATATTGAGGTCTTTGATCCACTTGGACTTGAGTTTTGTGCTGGGTAATAGATATGGATCTATCTGCATTCTTCTACATGCTGACATCCAGTTATGTTGGTACCATTTGTTGAAGATGTTCTCTTTTTTCCATTGTATAATTTTGGCTTCTTTGTCAAAGATCAGGTGTTCATAGGTGTGTGGATTTATGTCCAGGTCTTCCGTTCAGTTCTATTGAGCCCCTGTCTGTTTTTATGCCCTGTGTTGTGGAGATCCTGCAGTCCTGGTCCTCAGGCCTGACCCCCAGCCTCCACTCCCTATGTTCCAGCAGACCTTCACCTCATCTAAAATCCTGTCCTTAAAATAAATGTGTAAGTTAAGTTTCCTCATCTTTTGAATGTAGTCCAAAGGATGCTCTAAAGGAATTATGTTGTTATTTATGTCTTTGTTTTTGAAATGGGGTGTATGTGGCCCAGGCTGTCCTCAAAGTCAACAGTCTCCCTGCCTCAGTTTTCCAAGTGCTAATATTACATCATATACCACAACTCTGGCTTCTTCATGAGGGCCCTAAAGCCTCATTTTAGACCTTTTAGAGAATCTAAGTCACTCATGCTATTCTACTCTGCAAATTGCAGCCCAATTTGCTGTCTTCTGCTTTTAGGACCTTTGTTTTTCCCAAATTTAGTATTATAAAATATTTATTATAGTTTATTCAGTATTAACATGTAATTACTCAGAATAAAATTTATTGGGGTGGAGAATTATACATGGAGATTTATGTATTTGTAATAATTTAAGATTGAACTGATATATCATTGAGTCTTTAATAATATATTTTCCATCCAACTAGGATTCTGTTACCTTTTATGCAGTCATATGCAAGATCTGGAGGGTTTTCAATCACTGGGAAGATAAAAACAGCCCTGATTGAGAACGCAATCTATTATGGCACTTACTTGCTGATATTTGGAGCATTTCTAATTTATGTGGCTGTAAACCCACGTTTGCATTTAGAATGGTAAGAAAAGTAGTCTTTTTTAACACTATTGTGTGTATGGTTGTACTGTTTTCAATCAACTTTTCATTGCATATATGAAAGTATACAGACACACATGCCAGATTATTTGTCTTATAGATATCCCTCAAAGAATATCTGAATAATGTATGTTACTAAGAAAATCCAGAATGACATGTTTAAATATCACTATTAGGTGGTGAATTAGTATTTTGACAAATAGCTGTATGATAAAGAATAATATTTTTAACAGAATTTCAAATTTTATAAATGCGCAAAAATGAGTCCACCCCACCACAGCAACTTATATTTTTTTTCTTTTTAACTAGTAGTTTGACAGAATGATTTTTCTATTATCTTGGGTTCATGTATTTCAATAAATTAAAATCTATTTTGTGTATATGATTTCTAATGTGTGTATGTCACCCCAAATTTATATATAGACTAGAAGCACTAGGTCTCATTGTTGGTGTAAGTCAACCATAACACAAGTAAATTCAACTGTTTACAGGGCTCTTTTAGTTAATCTTGATTTAGGAAGCACCTAGTAAAAAATTTTTATAAAGGAAGCGTGTGTGTGTGTGTGTGGGTGTGGGTGTGTGTGTGTATGTGTGTGTGCATGTGCCATGATTTAATCTATATTCTAATTTTGACTATAATTTAAGCAGTTTTTCTTGTATTAAAGTCTATTTTTACAGTCACACTCTGTCTTTACATTAAAAAACATGAATTATCTGCTGTGACTGAAGAGTTGAAAATTTCTTTGTATGAAATCCTACTTTAGAGTTTTCTCTAAAAAAAAAGAAAAGAAAGAAATCCTACTTATCCTTTTGGACAGTTTTCTGGAAATTTGTTTATCACAAATGCCTGCTTATATTTTCTATTTCTTAGGAACCAACTTCAGACTATTGGGATAGCTGCTGCTAACACATGGGGTCTGTTTCTTCTTGTGTTATTATTGGGGTATGGCTTGGTGGAGATTCCTCGGTCATACTGGAATGGAGCCAAAAGGGGTTATCTACTGATGAAGACTTACTTTAAGGCAGCCAAACTGATGACAGAGAAAGCGGATGCAGAAGAGAACTTGGAGGATGTAATGGAGGTAAGCAAATCCTACAAAAGCAGTTCTGATTTAATAATACTCTGTCTCTGTTGACTGTTCTCTTGACTGCAAATGATGTCATGAGCGGTCTGTAAATGTTTTTTCAATGAGTATTGATCAATTTTAACTTTCGTGGTAGATGCCTGTTTTATGATAGTAAATAATAAAATAAGCTACCATATGTATATCTTTTCTTCATAGATAGCTCCTAATTTGAAGAGTTACTCAACATTTCTAGGTTGTATTGATCCTTTGTGAATTTTATTAACTTATCAGATTTAAAAAAATTATATGCATGCAAGTAGAGTTGCACAGTTCAAATTCATTTTTCAAGGGTCAACTTTATTTCTTACAACTTTACAAAAGAAAATTTCTTCTTAATCCCCATTTTATAAATGAAGATAATGAAATCCTGGGAGTTGAAGTAACTTCCTTTTGTGCACACAGCTAATATAGGTAGCCAGGGGACTTAACTTTAGTTCACACCTTAACAGTAACCATCTGCCTTTTTTAAAATATGAAGATGCAGATGGTAAATGTTTGAGGTTTTGTTGCCATGTGGTCTCTACTGTGGTTGCTTGATGATTGTGGTCTGAAAGCAACTGTAGACTCTACATAAGTGAAGGAGTGCAAGCTTGTATCTCAGTTTGAAAACAGGTGGGAGACCACGAGATTTGCTTTGATTTGATGACCCCCAATTCTTAACTATTATCCTTTTTTCTGTCTCTGAGCCTTCTGTTCACAGCTTACTTCATTTTCATGTCTTCAGAAACAAGAATTCTTCAGGAAGCCCTTTGTATTAGCAACACTTGGCTGCTATAATAAAAGTACTACAGACTAGTGGCTTAGAAAGCCTTGTTGTCTCTAAGAACATGGTTTCAAAGTCAGTTTCCTCTGAGTGCCATGATGAACATTTTTACATTTAGTTTGTTATACAAATTTGAAACTTCTGAAGAAAACCTTTAAGTATTTAAAGATTTATATTTGATTAAACATTTACATTTGATGAAAGAAGGTAATTTTTATTTGATAGTGTTCTGCCCAAGAATTGGTATTAAATTAAATTGTTACAGATTTGAAGAATTTGCATTTTGCCAGTTCATTTACTGTTTCTTAAACAAATACAAGTCAAATGTATTGTTTAGGTTTTTTTTTTCTTACAGTACTACAGATTGAACCAAGTGTGTCACATACACCTCAGTAGTTGCATACCATTGTATTATATATATATCCCCAACTTCTTGACTTTATATTTTTATTGTCTTCAGATAGTGACAGGTCTCTGGAAGGTATCTACTGAGGCTATGAACTCACTTTGTATTTGTGATCTAGCTGCCTGAGTAGCAAGGATTGTAGGTCAGCTCAGATGAACCAAGAATGTCTGAATGACATAGAGAGATGCTCTGTTGTTAGATAGAAGCCCATAGGAATAAGGCGTGAAAATGAAAACCTGGCATTTTTGCCTTGAATGTTATTTCAGTGTTCTATTCATCAGTTGAAAGTGATATGATCTAAATGTTTTTTGTAAGAGAAAAATTTCTTTCTTTCTTTCTTTCTTTCTTTCTTTCTTTCTTTCTTTCTTTCTCTCTTTTTTTAAATTTGAGACAGGATTTTGTAGTCCAGGGTAAGATCACAGGCCTATACCACCATGTCTGGCTGACAGCATTCTTTTTTAATGGATGTTTTGAAAATGCAGCTATTCTACATAGATAGAGAACTGTGCTCATGACTATATTAATTGTCTAGAATAGAATACCATACATTCATTCTCTTATGGTATATGATAAAAGTGAGTGATATACTGGAAGTGCTTTAATATGAATTAGTGTCACAAAAATCTGGAGAGAGATCAGAAAAAAAAGAATTGACCAGGGATTTAAAGAATTGCTAGAATGTTGATAGCTAACAAGATTCTAATCAAATACCAGGAAGTTGAGTGGATAAGGCACTGGCCTCCTAAACAAGCTAATATTTCAAATGCCTCCCAAACTTTAAAAGTTAACTGTTGAGTAAATCTTAAATTTATAACAGATAGCAAATGTGTAAGGTTAACTGTTTCAGTACTTGCTTTTGTTTAATGGGGCTAAATAATTTCAAGAGGTAACATACTATTTCACATATATAGTTAGATTATGTATAGTTAACAGTTAAAATAAATAAGTTTGTGCTAACTACAGACTTTAAGGAAACTTAGAAATGGTAAAATATAATGTCAAGCATCCAAGGTGACCTTTGAAAAGCACTGGTGTGATCTGGGCATAGTAGCAAAGATGCTTGTAATCCCTGCTAAATAGAAAAGTACTCCAAGGCCAACCCAAACTACATAGCAAATTCAAGTTAGAATGATCTATGTAGGGAAACGTCTCAAAAAATTGTAAATAAGTTAAAAATCTAAAAATAAAGATTAAATCTAATCTTACCAGACATGTACTTACAACAACCATATCTTAAAAGGAATTGCTAGTAAGATTTCTGGGAGATCTTGGATATTATCTCTCTAGCCTGATCACATGCTAACCAGGCCTTTGTTGTCCTTTTCTCTGTAGTCATGCTGTTCTTTCTCTCTGATACAGCTCTTTCACTTCTGTCTGGAGGCCTTGGTACTCACTGTCCTTGTCTTTCTTGTTCTTCCTTTTAGTTTACTGAGTCTTACTCATTTTGTTTTGTTTCACTTTAAATGATCAGTTCATCAGAAAGACTCCTAAACTAAATTTTGCTCACTCAGAACATCCTACACTTGTTTTTTTATAACATTTCTATATCTTTTTTTTGTTTGTCTGTTTTCCTCAATAAGCTAAGTCCCTTAAATAATTGATATCAACAGGAGCGGTGTCTGTTGATATCAGTTATTCAAAGTATGCATACATTAGATTTTCATGGTTTCTGGTAACTCTCCAAATAGATCACTTTTTACTGTAAATGATGTTGGGTTTGATATGAGCTTTCTTATTACATGGTATTAAATGTTTTATAATTTTGTAAGAAAACTCATTTGGAATTTGGGATTTTTTGGAAGCTTGAATGTCCTTTTACATATTTATAGACCAATTCTATTTTGTATTCTCATGTTTTAATATTTGCTAACAAGAAAGCTTCACATATTGAGGTGACTCTGCCATTTAAATTTTTTCATACTTTTCTTAGTATATGAGATGGTTTTTGATTCTCATTGCCTATCACTTAAAGCCCTTCTCTAATACTCCAGATGTTCTCTTAAAATTCCCTTTGTTTTCTCTTTATTCCAGAGCTGTGGCATGCAGGATTTTTTGTTTTGTTTTGTTTTGTTTCTGCATATAGAATACTTATCCCAACATTTTACTTCACAAATATTATAGGATATTTGATTCCTAGGAAATACTAATTCCAAAGACTCTGTTCCTAACCCACGTGTGTGTGTGTATGTGTGTGTGTGTGTGTGTGTGTGTGTGTGTGTGTGTGTGTGTGTCTGGGTGTGTTCATATGTGTTCACATTTGGAGACCCAAGGTCAATATTGCATATCTTTTGTTTGATCTCCACTTTTATTTTTTGAGATAGGGTCTCTCCCTGAACCTGAAGCACATTGATTCAGCTAGACTGGCGGGCCAATGAGCTTCAGCAATCCCCCTGTCTCTGCCTTCACAGTTCCAGGGTTACAAGAGAACATCATTATCCTTGGCTTTTTCTATGGGTTCTGGAGATATGAACTGAGATACTCATGCTTGCATGGTATTACTTTACCTAACAAGTCATTTCCTTTTCCCTTTTATGCCTTTTAATACTCATTAAAATACTCATCACAATGTATTATTTTTAGTCAGTAAAATTGCCTTCTTACATTGGTTGCGTTTCATATTGCTGTGATAAAGTAACTGACAAAAATCAATTTGGAGAAAGACAAGACTATTTGGGGTTACTATTGAAGGGATAGTCCGTCATGGCAAGGAAGTGTGGTGATAGGAGTGTCAGGCACATGGTCTCCAGTTAGGAGGTGGAGCAAGAAATGTTGCTGCTTAGCTTACTTTCTCCTGTTTACTCAGTGTAAGGTAAGATGGGTCTTCCCACCTCAATTAACCTAATGTAGAAATCTTTCACAACACTCACAGATCTGTCTCCAAGGTTATTCCAGACATTGTCAAGTTGACAATCAGTGTCAGCCATCACAAGTCTACCCATTGTCAATGTGATATCCAAACATAGCACTTTTAAGCTAGAACCTTCCACTCTTTGTGCCCATGGGCTCATGGTCATCTCCTAATGTAAAATGAATTAAGTCCAATTTCAAAAGTCTCCATAGTCTTTAACAGTTCCAACATTGCTCAAAAGTGTAAGTTCAGAGTCTCTTCTGAGACATGAGAAATCTCTTAAATGTGAGTCCCTGTACATAAAAATGAAGTACATACATTTGATGGTACAGACTAAACATTCCCACCCCAAAAGAAAAGAGTGGGGGCACAGTAAGGAAAGCTTATACTAAAGCAAGACCATAACACAACAGGAAAATACTAAGTTCTGTAGTTCCAGGTCAGGCGTCTGGGGCTCATGCTAGAATTATCTGGGCTCTGAAGAGCTTGCATAGCCCCTGTCCTCCAGCTCTGCCACTTGTAGCACACTTAGTGTCTCTTCTGGACTAGTCTGGTATGTGACATTGCTTTCCTTGGTAGACTTTCCATGGTCCTAGCATCTCCAATACCCTTGAGTTTCCATTTCAATTTAGGCTTACAATCACAGTTTCATACAAGTGGCCCCAAAGGGCCTTCTTATAGGGAATCCGACCTTGCCACATACGGCCTGTCCTTAGTTGCCTTTTGGAACCTAGGCACGGGCCTCTGTGACCCTTTCATTCTTTCATCCTTCATGCCTATAAAACCTATACCTTGTGAATGAAACTGCCAAGTTCTGCTGCCAAGTCAAGATGAAGCCCAGCCCTTTTGGACCATTGCTGCTGTGTTTTCTGTCTGCTTAGATTGTTTCTCTGGAGTAGAAAACCCCTTTACTGGCATTCTTAGTCCAGACTCTCTTTTCAAATGATTTTACATTTTCTCAGGATCTTCAGTGGAGGGTTCTTGTCCTCAGAACTTCTTCCCTAACTTTATAGTTCACACATGTTTCTTCACCAAACCTGTTCTATAGCTCTTTTGTCTTTCACTGTAGAACTGAATGAAAACAGTGAGCATTAGCCATGACACAACTTGAATGTTGTGCTGTCTTGAATTTCCTCCACCAAAAAACTTAGTCCACATGAACTCCTAGCAGCTGTGATTGCATTCGTAAGGTCAGACTAGCCAGAATCCCAGCATAAATGGAGAGGGACTATGAAGTCTCATCTACAGTTGAGGAGCTATTTTGGTAATTCATTGCTACAGGGATAAGGGGAGTTGGTTTGCTTTAAGGATATGTAAAGTGGAATACAGTGGAGTCAGAACTAGATTGATAACAGATGGTTTATTAAGAAAGTACTCATGCAACGGAGCTAGTGACCAGGTTTACACCGGATGCCTGCTCGTCCATTCAGCCAGGCGGGAGAGGGAAAAGAGAGGTGCATGCATGTGTCTCTGATATTTAAAGCCTTGCTACATCACTCTGACCACGCCCAAGTGGGCATGGTCAGCAGCACCTGTGCCAGCCCCCGTGTTAGCCCCCAAGTGGACGTGGTCATCATTTCCCTTACAGTTGCAGTCCCTGAGAGGCTACCCATACTCCCATAGATGTCCCTACTTCCCTGTACATATAAGAAGCACTAAGTGAACTCAGTGGATTAAAAAGAAAAAAAGCATATGAAGTTGGGAGGAAAACATGGTGGAAAGCATAAGGGAGGAATTAGAGTAGAGGGAATGAGGGATGGATTTGACCAAAACACATTATATACATATGAAATTCTCAAGCAGTAAAGAAGAAAGGAAGTTACATATGAAATCAAAGTCTTACCTAAGTTTTCGTATGTTGAGTTTACAATAAATTAATTAATTAATTAAAGTAGTCCATTACCTTTTACTTCAGCCTTGTCCAACTTCTCAGGACATTGTCAGAAAGCAGCCAGATTCTTTGCCAGAATGAAGCAAGCTTGGCTTCTGTCCCAGATCCTGATAGTGCCCTTGATCCCCTCTGAACCCTCCTGAGTTCACCCTCCACATCTGTATTTCTTTTCGTATTCTTGTCTTCTGAACTCCCACCAGAATGGTTCATTAAGCTTTGCTTATAGCAACTGTGCGGCCTCTCTAGGCCACAGTTCCAAAGAGCCATGTGATCAGGTTTATCACAATAATGATCCCACTTCTACCAAATTTCTGTAATACTTACTTTTCTTGTTGTCGTCACAAAATACCTGTGGAAACAGTTGAAGGAAGAGAGCATTTATCCTGGCTCACAGTTTTGTCTGAGGGTATGGTACATCATGGCAAGAAAGGCATGGCCGGAGGACATAGGACAGTTGTTCACATTGTGCCCACAGTCATCAGGCAGAGAGTAATAAATGCTTCTATTCAGCTAGCTTTCTCCATTGAATGCACAATACAGCCTCAGCCCATGAAATGGTGCTGCCTATAATTTGGTGAATCTTTCTACTTCAGTTAACACAGTGTAGAAAATCCCTCAGATGTGCCCAGAGATTTGTTTCTAAGTGATTCTTAATGCTGGGAAGTTGGCAATCAATATGGACTGTCACACATCTTCTCATCTTATATGGTAGTCATTTAGTCAGCACACTGCCAACAGGTAATGTGGTCTCAGTAAACAAGGACTAAGTCACTAAGTGGTGAATACTCTAGACTACTTTTAATGGGAAACAGTGGGAGCTTTGTGAAACATGTCTTTTCTGCTTTCCATAGTAATTGATGTTAATTGATAATGAGATAATTGATTCTGATCAGCAATTTAACCCTGTTCTCTTAGAAACATAGAACTTGACAGATCCTTTGTGAATTCTTATTATTTCTTTTATTTTTTGAGTTTATCATTACTTCATTTATCCTTCCCTTTCTTTCCTTCAAACATTCCCAGTGTTCCTCCTTTCTCTTTTTCAAATTTATGGCTTCCTTTTTAGTAATTACTGTTACAAATATTTGTTGTTAATATTTGTGTGTGTGTGTGTGTGTGTGTGTGTGTGTGTAATCATATATATTCTAAATACACGCTGCTTAGTCTGTATAAAGTTATCTGTATTTAGGTTTTCACGACTGCCAGCTTGGTATTGGATAATCAATTGGTGTGCTCTTTCCTCCTTGGGAAAATTTCCTCATGTCATTCTTAGCATTCCTTAGTTGCCTCTAGTTCTTTGTGTAGGGTTAAGAATTCATGCCCCACCTTCTACTCCCACCCCTACTCCGGTCCACATTGGCATGCCTATTGTTACTGTTCTTGTTATGCTCATGTTTATGGAGTCATATTAGTGAGATCTATGGGTATATCTTCTGACAATCCTAGGAGACATGACCTCAAAACAACTCTTTAATCCTCTGGCTCTTAGTCTTTGTCTCCCCACCCCCACACCTTCCACAGTGATCACTAAGCCTTTAGGTGAGGAGTTTTATTGTAGATGTATCCCTTGACTTGGCACTTGGCTCTAAACTATGTATTTGATTCATTGTTGTTTTCTGTTGTAAAGGGAAGTTTGATGAGGAGTAACAACTACACTTGACTGTGAGTTTAAGGAAAGTTGCTATCATGCCATGCCATTCCATGTCTTAGGTATACTGGCTGAGTAGGACTGTTGGTTGCTTTTCTCCCATGGAAGCTTTCATGGCATCTTCTGGAACCATGAAAGTTAGTCCCCATGAACAAACTTTTCAAATCTGTTCTTAGTTCAGGGGTTTCTTAATCCTGTGTCTTAAGTGCAGAGTGTCTTCAGCAATAGAGATTTAAAAGAAATAACAATAGCCTAACCCTGACCAACAACTCAAAAGGGGCTTCTCATACCTGTGTGTTGAGGTTTTGTTAGATGCTCTTTAGCTCTTGGAGGGAGCATTGCCAGGCCACATGGGAAAATTTCATTTAAACTATATATGTATATTTATACACACATGTATCACAGACTTTTGAACTGTTAAATAATGCTTAGTATTTATTGTATGAAGTAAGCAAACAATGGAGAATAAATTAGAAATTCATAAAATAGCAAGAATATAAATTCAGCTTTTTGAATACTTTGTAATTTTACACCTGTCTTAATAACCTTTATTCTGTGAAAAAGACTTCTTATATTGCTAAATAATTTGAGGTGAAGTTAAAATCTGAGACTTAATAGTATTTAGTGCATTATCATTTAAAATGTCTGATTTGTAGAAATTAAATATTTTTATTTTCTCACTGTTTTATAGGAGGTTCGTAAGGTAAATGAAAGCATTAAATATAACCACCCATTGAGAAAATGTGTTGATACAATACTTAAAAAGGTAATTATATTATAACATTCCCTTTATTTCTTGTGACTACACCTTATGTACTATTATAAATTAATATTTCACATAGGAAAAGTAAGATAAAAACATATGGTTGAGGTGTTCGAGATGGATTTTCATATAAATCTTTACCATAAACACAGAGTAATTGATACATAGAATTTTTCTTATGCATTGTAAGTTTGGTGGTAATTACTGACAGTGTTTTCCCTTGAAATGTGAAGATAGCAGTAATGTTGAGTAACTTGCAATAATTGCATGGTACGGTGACAGAGGTACATCTTTACTGTACCATTGTGTGTTAACATTGAAGGCTCTCTGCTGAAAGTAAATGGAGGTCTCAGTAATTCTTGCAACCAGCTTCTTACACGTACTTTTATGATGTGTGTTATGAAATAAATTACATGGATATTTAATAAATAAGCCATATTGCTATGATTTTGATGGGGCTGTATTAAATTTGTATGCTTCTAAAATAATTATTTGAAAGTTCTACAATTATCTTTATGTACCCAAGTTACCACCAAGTTTTTTCTTCTCCTGAATTCTAAATCTGTTCTACTGGTTATTATTGGCTACTGTTCCTTTAGCTAAAGTCATAGTCATAAGAATAAATTTTCTAACCATTTCTCTCATATTTGCTATTTTTGAGACCTATTTAGGAAGGTTTATAAACTTGTACAACTCCATATAGGTAATAACTAACTGGCAGTATGGTGGATAATCCTAATTATGTATCTCTTTCTCATACTGTAGCTTTCAGAACTTTAAAATGTTAAATTTTTCGTGATTCTTCTTTGTTATTTAGTTTAGTTGATAATTTAAGTTTCATCAAGTGCCTATTATTAGAATAATCATCTCAAATAGTTATTACCTCATATAGGTAGGGTCCCTCACCTTTCCCAGTCTCCAGCTAGTATATCTAAGCATAAAGATAATATTAATAGAAGTAAAAAGAAACTCAAGAGTCCAAGAAGACACTCAGCACACCTTTGAAATACTTTTTTGAAAATGTTAGCTAGTGAGAAATCTAACAATTAGAGATGTCAATAAAAGAAGAAAATATTTTTGAGAAAATTAAAATTTTCCAGAATGGAAGATTTTTAATAAAAATAAGTTTTATTAAAGATTTGTTACGATGTACTAAATTTTTAAATTTTTATTAAAGAATTATTAAGATTTTATAAAATTTTTCTTTTAGTGCCCTACAGATTATCAGGAAAAAATGGGTAGAAATATGGATGATTATGAAGATTTTGACGAAAAGCGTAATACCTACCCAAGTGAAAAAAGTTTGGTAAAATTGCATAAACAGGTAACCTCAATTATTAATTGTAGCTATTTTACATGCAATTAGAGAATATGAATTAGTTTAATAATTATTGCTCAGATAAAAAGGCTACGTGCATGTTGGCTCATCAGTTGAACTGCTTTAATTCAAGCCTGAGGAACTGAGCTGTCTCCAGCACCTGTAAAAAGCCAGGCAGAGTGGTGTGCACCTGTTTCCAGTGCTCTGGAGGCAGAGCTAAGCCTAACACTGGCCAGGCAGGTTAGCCAGGTTCAGTGAGAGACCTTGTGTCAAAAACTAAGGTGAAAAATGGTGGGGAAGACACCTGATTCTGGCTTCTGCTTACCATATGCACATAATCATACATGCAAGTACCCAGTCCCCAAATGTATAATGCATGTTAATGAAATATATATCCATTACTATTGATCTGGTTCTTACTATTGTTGAAGTGTTTTAACTTTGTGTTTCTGGGCAAGGATACTCTTGGCAATTGGATACTCTTGGTAATTCTATATCAAGGAAGTAGTTTGTCATTTCAAAACATTAACATCCTTGGCCACATTTAGAAAATTCCATTAGTGCCACTTTATTAAGACAAACACAAATCCCAGTCTCTAGCAGAAAGTTGACCCCACTGTTCAGTCACACTGACAGACTTATCCTTCTTCTGTTTTTAAGGTCATTTATTCAGTTCAAAGGCACCGTCGAACTCAAGTGCAATGGCAGATTCTTTTGGAACAGGCATTCTATCTAGAAGATGTAGCCAAAAATGAGACGAGTGCAACTCATCAGTTTGTTCACACCTTTCAGTCACCTGAGCCAGAAAACCGATTTATCCAATATTTTTATAATCCTACAGTTGGTATGTAATTTGACATAACTTTCAAAGTTAGTATTTTTTCTACAAGGAAAATGTGTGTTTCATCAATATAATACTGACTTTTATTTGTATATTAATTTGCTCCATAGGGTAATATTAGATATCTGATAAACTTACCTCAAAATAATTATTTTACTTCTAATTCTCATCGCAGAAGTCACTGGTTGCTTTAATTCTTTCTCTAGGAGTGGGACTTGATGAAATTTTCCCTCTTCTAAATTAGCATGTCCGTTGTTAATATCTTCTAAGTTAACATTGCACATTGCCATTGTTCCAGTCTTGTTGATATAGCCATTTGTAGGAAAGATTGTTTCACTATGGACTTCCTGGTGTTCTGAGTTTTACAGTCTTTCTGCTTCCTCTTCCATGATGTTCCTGTGCCATAGATATAGGAGCTGTGGTATATTTAAAAAAAAAAAAAAAAAAAGATTTACAGATAAAATATTTGATAACAAATAGGTTATAATTCCATATAATTTTATTGAAGCTATTTGAAATATCCATTGTCACTAACAATGAATCTCACTATAAATTTGTATCATGACTTGAACTATTGATATAAAACTTTATTAATTAACTACACTTTAAAAATTGAGCATTCTGAGTATTAACAGAAATTTCTACAAATTCATCTACAGTATTTAAAATATTGTCTGCAGGATATTTGATGGCATTTCTTTCAACACAATGATTATTTTAAAAGTTTTTTTTGAAGTTTCTTAATATATTTATGCCTACGATTTTAAATACACATACATATAGAAAATACAATTTAAACCCTTTGCGTACATGATCAAACATATGCTTAGAGACCAAGAATAAATAAATGAATAAATACTAAAAAGAAACAGAAAAGGGTAATAGCTGTGGTTAGTGAGGGGGTGGGGGACTTGAAGTGTAGCTTATAACTGGAGAATAATATTACAAGAGGAAAATTACTAAAGCCATAGAGAACTCTGGAGCAGAATTCATGGATAATGGAGATGAAATAGGAAATAGTAAACAATGAACAGAATGGCCTTGCATTAGGAAGTGAGACTGACAGACATATGAAAGTGAGAAATGAAAGTAAGAAAATATAGTGGTAAAAATGTTGGTAAGTCTTCTGACTGCTTATACTCTCTTGGGAGTGTACTGACTAAATTCAAGAAGGAGGGTTTTCAACAAGGCACAAAATAGTCACATGGGAAATGGAGAATTAAAGTAAGCTGTCCAGGTGTGCTAAGGATCTGTTTGAAGTTGGCGATAATTTAAAGTGAGAATAGTCAGTAAAGATGTGTCTTTCTTCTGCAGTGTACATGTATACAGACTCAGAGTAACCAAGGAGTTGGATCAAACAGTGTGGTTTTAACCAAACAAATACAGTGAAGCAAGAGAGGGTAAAGAAATTGGGACTGGAGAGTAGTTATCTTCAAAGACTGTGGAATCTGAGCTGGGAAAGGAAGGAATGACATTAAAATTGTTCAATAACAGTAAAAAGGTAAAAGAATAAACGTTTTGTTTGTCCTCATAGTCAGTCAGTATAGTTGGATACAGATGAAGGATGATGGAATTGGGCTTTGTAGAAAGATTGCCATTGTAGCAATAAAAGTTTTAGGAAAGGACATTGGAATGAGTAATCAAGTTAAAGAGGAGTATTAGAAGGTGAAGTCATTAGAGAGAGGAGATGGAAACAATGAAAAAAAAAGAATTGTCTATGTGGATATTTAAATAATCAGGAATTATGCTGAGGGTACAGTGGAAAAGTCAGCGAGCTTAGCTTTTCAATAAATGAAATGAAAATTTGGCTTTGTTGCAAGCTGTAACCCAGTGGCAGATACGTTTAGGTCACACTAACTCTGGGTTCAATCTTCAGTGGGATGGATGATGGATAGATGGAGATCTTTTTCAGTTTATTGAGCTTTCTTTTAACTTTTATTACTGAAATTCAGATAATAAAACCAGCTATTCTCATATAACTAACCAGGTTCTTTATATGTTAACATTTTATTATATTGATTTGCTCTTCCTTTCTCTACATATATTTTTTCCTTAATCTTTCATGAGGCCTTTTGTTCCCTAGGAATTTCAGTGTATACTTTCTAGGAATACAGCTTCTCAAGTGTAACTCTATAATTAGAGAATTAACATTAGTAATTTACTATTACTTATATCCCTTATGCATATTTTGATTAATTATGACAGTGATACTCTTTTTTTTTTTTTTTTTTTTTTTTTTTTTTTTTTGGTTTTTTGAGACAGGGTTTCTCTGTGCAGCTTTGGAGCTTATCCTGGCACTCAATCTGGAGACCAAGCTGCCCTCAAACTCAGAGATTCACTTGCCTCTGCCTCCCGAGTGCTGGGATTAAAGGCGTGCTTCACCAACGCCCGGCGACAGTGATATTCTTTGGGAAAAAAACAAAACAAAACAAAACAAAACTAAACTCACACATTGTATTCAGTTGTTATTTTCTTAATCTTTTAAAATCTGGAACAGTTTTTCTGTCCTGTGTGTTTTAGCCTCTGTGTATTTTATAACATCAATGTTTATGGGCAGGACAGGCTGGTTCTTTACTGATTGTCTCCAAATTGGAGTTTGCCAAGTCCCCATGATTAGATACAGCTTACGAGTATCATTTTCAGGAATACTACAAAGATGACGTCATGCTCTCCCAAGTACATCAGAGCAGGAAGAACATTGGATATCAGTTTGTACACTGCTGTTGGTTATTTGGCTAGAGTAATGTCTGTTTTTCCACTGTGAAGTTACTACCTTTCTCTGTGTTGTCTGATTGGCTGCTTGTTTGAAAGTCTATAAGTACTCTTTTACTGATTTAGTTTTCCTAATTGTGTTTTCTTGTGTTTTTCAGAATGGTACTGGGAATGCCTGTTACGTCCATGGTTTCACAGGATCCTTGCTGTGGTTTTGTCTGTCTTCTCTGTGATTGTTGTGTGGTCAGAGTGCACCTTCTTTAGCACGACTCCTGTCTTGTCTCTCTTTGCAGTCTTCATACAGCTGGCAGAAAAAACATACAACTATATTTATATTGAGGTCAGTTTTTTCATATCTGTCATGGATACATATCAGTTCATGCAGAAGCTTTAGCTGTTGGTATCTTTTCCCAAGTTTCTTCTAATAAGAATGAACCTAGTGGAGTTTCCCTCAGTTCTGTTGTTCAGACTTCCAAAACTGGTGTTCATCAATTTATCCAGACTATAAATACTAGGAGCTGTAGTTGAAGATCAATGAAAAAGAATAGGATAGTGAAAAAAAATATTGGATAGTATAGGAGGTTACGTTGATCCTCTTTTGTCATTGATACTAGGTAACTTACTGTCTTCCAGTAGAGTTGTCAAGAGAATAGGTAAACAGTTTCTTTCAAGGCTCAGAGTCAAAACTTTGGATCTAGAAAGTTGAACTGGTTGAAATGTAGATTTATATTCAAAATTTCATCTTAGCTATTAAAAAAAGATACTATTGTTGTATTTATATTTCTAGTTTAGAACATCAGTAAACGTATTCTGGGCTAGTGATAATTCTTATGGCAGTAAGTAAAGTAATAAAGTCTTAAATCAAGTTTTAACTGTTTTTTCCAGATTGCTTGCTTCCTTTCCATCTTCTTCTTAAGTATCTGTGTTTACTCTACTGTGTTCAGGATTCGAGTATTTAATTACTACTACTTGGCTTCACATCATCAGACTGATGCCTACAGTCTTCTTTTCAGCGGCATGTAAGTAGACTTGAGCTTAGGAAAAAGAAATGTTTCCATTTAAAGTGATAATTATCAATTATAGTTCTCTTAGTTCTTGTTCATGGATGTTGCATGACAACATATTTGTGAGCTAACTGATTTTTTTTTTCTTACTATTAAGTGGGTATTTGTGATCACCAGCTAAATTCTGCTTGACGTTTATGGCTAAATTACGAATGCTTTGTTAGGGAAAAAGACACAGTGAGCCTGAATTTACAAATTTGAATCTTAGTATATGAACAATTGAGAGTTTAAAGGCTATGCCAGATGTAAAGAGTGTTCTCAAAATGAGTGGCCTAAAACTGAATTGCAGTTCTAAGAATGCTAAGAGGAACATTTCTTTCCTGGAGAAATGTAGAGGTCTGGCTTTAGCTACAGGTAATCGATCCAGGCTACTTATTAGTCAGGTATATTAGGTATTTATAAGGACTAGGCTTTGAGAAGTTCAAAGTAATGTCAGGTGTCAAAACTTGGTCTTATAAAAAAAATCAAAACCACTGGGTTAGTGTCTTGTGACTGTTACAAAATACCTGATACAAACAACTTGGGGGAAGAAATATTTGTTATGTTTAAAGGTTTCAGAGACTTAGTCTACCATTACTTGTTCGGACCTAAAGTGAGGCTACACTTGGTAAGGAGAGTACATTGGAGCAGAGCTATCCACCTCATGGTACCTAGGAAACAAAGACAGACTAACAGGACCCCAAACATGGTATCTTTCCATTTATAGTGTCAGGTGACCTGCTTCTTCTAGCTAGGCCCTACCTCCTAAACATTATACCATCTCCAAAAATAGAGCCACTGAGTAAAGGTGAACTCTTCAACACATGAGCCTATGGCATTCCTTCCATATTTAAGCTATAACGTTACAGATATACTGTATAACCTTCCTCAAGCTTTTTATCATGGTGACATTGTCTGTAGTTGCTGTACAATACCAGACTAGGAAATTTATACTGTATATTACTGTTAGCAGCACTGTAGGCTTTAATTAGTTCTTACATTTCATCCTTCATTTGTGTGTAGATTCCCACAGATGTTTTAATTAGTTCTTACATTTCATCCTTCATTTGTGTGTAGATTCCCACAGCTATCACCACCATCATAGAGCTTTCTCTTACTACAAAAGAACTCTTGTCGATAGTACTTCCTTATATTTAAACCCTTCCATTCTCCCAGCCCCGTTCTCCTTCTCCAACCCTAGCAATGTAAGATACTCACTCATTTTATACTTGATCTTAGCCAGAATGCTGAAAGCAGGCACCCCGAGGTTGCAGTTAAGCATATAGGCACTTGTGTCCTTAAGGGAAATGTAATTAGTAGGATTTCAGAATGTGTCTCCAGTAAGGGCAGTTCACATAAATAAACAATATATAATATGCAAATATATAAAAATTATACTTACAATGATCTGAAATGTTTTAAATATATTATACATGATATAACATAAATATGTATTTACTATAGTGTAAAATTTGTTTTGCTATATTTAAAATATATGTTGGTACTTTTAATTGTTTATTGTAGGTTATTTTGCCGTTTGACTCCCCCTTTATGTCTTAACTTCTTGGGATTGACCCATATGGATTCATCCATCTCTCACCAGAATACTCAGCCAACTGCCTATACATCTGTAAGTGTGATTCTTTAGGTTCATTATCTATGTCAGGTGTTGTTATGAGTCATCTTCTATTGTCAGTAGACAAACTCTGTAGCATTATTGAACACCTATTTATTACTAAAGCCTTTACTTAGAGACTATGTATGTAATCACTAATGAAGGGGTTAAAATAATTTTCCTTATAGAATTATAAAAATGTTTTCCTTCATATAGATTACTTAGATGCACTGCATTAAAAACTTGCCTCATACTAGTATTAGCATATGTAATTTTAATGCCTAAGGTTTTGTAGTAGTTGTAAAATACTAGATTTCTTTAGAAGAAGCCCTTAACAAAAAGAATGTTTAAGAAATGCCTACCACACTGGGCGTTGGTGGCACATGTCTTTAATCCCAGCACTAGGGAGGCAGAGGCAGGTGGATCTCTGTGAGCTCGAGACCAGCCTGGTCTACAAGAGCTAGTTCCAGAACAGCCTCCAAACCTATAGAGAAACCCTGTCTCAAAAAACCAGAAAAAAAAAGAAAAAAAAAAGAAAAAGAAAGAAAAGAAAAGAAATACACTTAATACACTTGGTATTTTGTTTCTAAATTTTGAGAAGTCTAATTTGTTGATATAACTTCCTGGGGGTAAATTTCTAATGATAGGAAGGAATGAAAATGTGAAACTGTGCTGATTTAACTCTTCTCTTGCTCTTCAGATCATGGGTTCCATGAAAGTTTTATCCTTTATTGCAGATGGATTCTATATATATTATCCTATGTTGGTGGTAATTCTCTGCATTGCTACTTATTTTAGGTAAGCAGCTCAACATTTCTTTTTCTCGTGCTCTTAGTTGGATATAAATATCCTTTCCCCTTAAAACTCCCTTGAATATTTACTGGCTTGGTTTTAGTTATTTGTGTTTTGGGAGGTTATGAGAACAAGGGTAGTTTGAAGGGCCCTTTTGAGTGTTTGAGTCATTCTGTTACAGTTAGGTAGGCTACAGTGATAAGATTAATTGCAGGATGGTAAAGTCCTGGTCTCTGATGCTGACAACCAGCATGGTTTATAATACCCTTTCATATCTACCTTCATTACTGTAACACAGTTTTGGGTTTTTCCCATAATTGTTCCTGGGTTCTAAATCCTGCAGATGATAGCCAACACAAAGGGAACATTTATAATCAGGAAATATGGATAAAGTTTGAAGCGAAAAACTTCTCTATGCCTAGAAGGTGCACAGGCTACTCTTCTTGTGGACTCAGAAGATTATAGAGTCTTTGTAAAGGTAGATTCAAAGGGGTTAAAGCTGTTATAGTAATGAACTCATACCAGCCATAGTTACCCATACAAGACCTATACAAGATCAAGTCAGCAGTAGTGCCTGCAGAGATAGGGATTGATCTCCAGGCCCCACCCAGCCTGAGGATCGTTTGGCAGTTGATAAATGCTCTGGAAAGGAGACATTCTTCTTTGAGGCTGAGGTAGGTTTCCCATGCTCCAGTGGCTAGCCCTACATCCCTGCATATATGGGAAGCACTCATTGGATTTAGTGGATTATTGTTTTAGAAAAAGATGCCAAGTTATGTGGGGAGGTGTTAGGAAGTATGATGACAAATTGGAGGGGGAAAGTAGAGATTGTGTATAACCATATTAATTCCATACATATATCACATTCTTAATTTTAGAAAAAGTTAATGGAAACATATGCTTGCCTTAGCACCCTGTCTCTTACTTTCTCATTACACATTCCACACACTTATACTCCTGCCCCTGCTTACTGCTTCAATGTCCCAAGAAATGTCCAAATTTATAAAAACATTAATATAAATCAATTTGCTTTTCTCTCCTTGCTGTATCTGGGCTGCAATAGTATCCCTCCATAGGGAATGGGCTCCCAAAGTCCATTTGTGCTCTAGGGATAAAGACTGGCTCCCCTGTTAGAGGAGCCATAGACTGTCTTGGGCTCCTAGCTGGTACCCACATTCAGAGGGTTTGGTTTGTTTCAATGCTGTTTCCCTAGCTTTATGACTAGGATCTCCATTTTATCACTTGGTCAGGTCCACTGTTTCTACAGGTCTCTCCTTTGCTCCTTTGCTCAACCCTCCTCCCTCTCCACAACTGAATTCCAGTAGTATGGTTCAGTGGTTAGCTGTGTGTGTCTGTTTCTGCCTCGAACAGCAACTGGATGAAGACTCTCCTTCCTTTCCCTACTCCCACACTCCAATTTGGTCAGGGGTTCTTTCAATTTGCTTTTCTAATGAAAGAAAGTTTTATTAACTTTTATTTAAGTCCTATGTTATTAGTACATTAATACTATAAACAACATATCAACATACTAATATTAGGGTAATAAGCAAGCATGTTGTTTAAATTCTCTACCAAGTTAAACATTTTTACTTTTTGATAAAATAGCTAAAAGATTATAATTTAAAGCAAGACTTAGCTGAGTATCATGGCACATGTCTACAGTCCCAGGGTTTTGTAGGATAAGACAGGAGGACCCCAAGTTCTAAGTCATCTTGGACTATATAATAAGACCTGTTTTATATATAATATAGACCCTGTTTATAATATATATAATATAATATATTATATAATATAGACCCTATATAATAAGACCCTGTTTTAAGACAAAAACATAAAGTAAAATAAGATAAAAATATTAACATGAGCTGACACTAAAACTGTTGTTTTGAGTTTTGCCTTTAAGGTAGAAAAACAATAGCGGACTTTATATATTTAATGCTGTTTTGATTATATGTTTACTTATTTAAAAGTTTTATAAAAGTATTAATGGAATATCATGAACTTAAGTGCATCTTTTCCTGCTAGTTGTCATATTGGGAATATTTGCATTTTGAGATCAAATGACTCTATGGCTCAAAATAATATAAATAGGATAGTGCTTTGTCAAATATAAAATATTAATATAAGAAATCAGAAAGGATATTGTTAAAAAATAATCATTATGGGGCTAGAGGTGTAGCTCAATGATGTATTTACCTAGAACGCCCAGAATCCTAGGTTTGATCACCAGCAGCATTGCACACACACACACACACACACACACACACACACCAAAAAAGAAGCAAAATCATGAAAGGTTCTTTCTAAGCTGGGAGTGGTGGTGTGTGGTATATGTTGTAACCAGGAAGATCCTGCCTTTTTGAGAGCAGCCTGAGCTGCATAGTAATCTTAACATGCTAATGTGAGTTTCTCTCAAAGAAAGGAGCTTTCCTCAAAGGCATGCATACATTCTGAGTTAGTCAGATATTTATACATTTCTTAGCAGAAATCAGAGATTTTCACTTTAACAGTTGTTTTCCTTTCTTCATACACATATCTTTCTCTAGCCCCTCAGTTGTGTTTCCATGCATGTAAAGGATACATATTTATTTCTTAGGGTTATAGTGTAAGCAACTGAGTGTTATAGCTCTGGAGTTGCAAAGGTATCCTGACTTACTGGGAAGCCAGGCTATACCTAGAGCCACTATAGGACAGCTCAGCTCTGTAGGGAAAGGTATTCTGACTTGTTGGGAAGTAGGGTGATAACCTAAAGCTGGGATGCGATTGGAGATGGTCTCCCTGCAGGGTATAGCAATCCTGCTCTTCTCCCAGGGAGAGCTTAAGAGCTTACTAGCAGAGCACCACTTCTCTCTGGCTCGAGATGTTGTCTTTTCCTCTTCACTCTGCTAAAGGGGAATCCTTTGCGGAAATGTAGCAATCTCCTCCAGCTCCAGTGAAGTTGGTTTTTTTTTTTTTTTCTGCTCATCCTTGCTCAGCCCCACCCCCACCCCGAACCCCACCCAGGGTCTCAGTAAGGTTTTTTTCTACTCAGTCCTCTAAGGGATGTCTCAGTAAGGTTCTTCTATTCTGTGCTGACGAATGAAGATCTTCACCCAAGACTCTTTTGAGAAAGATTTATTTGGGAAGAAGGAATCCAGGAGAGAGGCTGCCTCTGCCAGGGTGGGAAAGCACAGCCCGCAATTGAACAGACAGAGGGACTTATATAGGGCTTTTTTAGGGGTGGAGTTTTCCCCACGGAGAAGTTTTTTCTGCTCAGAGATTGGTTAGTTTTCCTGCTCAGGGATTGGTTAGTTGGTCAGGGGCAGAGTTGGTCCTGGTTTCATGGCCAAACTGTGTTTCTTTCACTGGCCCTTTTTAGCTTTTTTGCTCTATTTTCAGGGCTAAGGCATATGTCTTTTCACTGACTGTGGTTTTAGGGCCACAGTAGGAATTGTGTGATCCATAATAGGATCTTAGCAGTATGTATTGCTTCCTCCCTTGTGTGCCATGGTACACGTGTCCTATATGACAATCAGATTAAAATGCCAAATAACATTTTAAGTAACTAGCCTCCAGACAAGATATAATTATCATTTATATTATATAATAGAAACTGTTTAATTGTTGAGGGACAACAAAGCATAACATTAAAATTTGCATAATTGAGGTATTCCTAAGCCAAGCAGGGTGTCTAAATCTTGCAGTCACAGCACTTGAGAGGCTGAGGGAGGAGGGTCACCATGAGTTTGAGGCCAGCCTATTCCATATAGTGAATTCTAGAACAGCCTGAACTCCAGATTGGCACCATGTCTCAGAAACCAAAAGATTTTCTAAACAAGAAATCTCTTTATGTAGAAACACTAATTTTTATATGTATTTTGGGGGTATTATAACTGCTCTTTGAATATTTTTAAAAGAACAAGTTTATTTTATTATAGCTATTGCTTAACATTCTAGTATAATTATTTTCTAAAGATGTGCTGATAGTTTGGCCTGTTTACTTCTCTGTAAATATAAGAAGTCTTACTCTACTGAGTGAAATATGCAACATTAAGTTTATTTTGTTTGAGACATAGTTTCACTGTAGCCTCAGCTAGCCTTAAACTCATGACAATCCTTCTGCCTCACTCCACCAAAAATTGCGATTATAGGCATGAAATTTCATACAAGGCTGCACATAAACATTTTTAAAAGGAAGAGAAAGAAGTGCCTTGTTAAGAATGACTAACTGCATTGCTATGCAACTTGCCATGAAACTAATAATCATGGTTTCTTCTGGGGGTGACAATAGTAAAGATCAATTTATCAAACTATTTACAAAGTGAAATAATGCTTACTGTTTTGAAATCTGCTTCCATTAGTTTGGGAACCCGTTGTTTGAATCTGCTTGGTTTCCAGCAGTTCATGGGAGATAATGATATGACATCAGATCTAGTTGATGAAGGAAAAGAACTAATCAGACGAGGTAAGATTTGTTATTTTAAGATAAATAAAGGGACAGTTTTAAGTGCTAAGACTCAAACAAAAATTAATGTTTGCAAAATTTGCGTATAATTTTTCTCCATTTTAAGAAACACAGTGGGCCTTTTTCCTCCTACTGGGTTACCTTGTGCAGCCTTAATGTGAGAGGATGTGCCTAGTTTTATTATGACTGAATATGCCATGATTGGTTGATATCCCTGAGAGGTCTGCCCTTTTCTGAAGAGAAAGAGGAGGAGGAGATCTGTGGGAGTCCGGAGCTTGGAGGAGGGACTGGGTAGAGAGGAGGGAGGGGAAACTGCAATTAGGATGTAATATATGAGAGAAGAATAAAAAAAGTACATAAACCTTTTTTAATTTTAAAAAAGAAATACAGTGGTTTAACCTAAAATATATATGTAATGTAAGATTTATGGTGAAGACATTCTGCAGCATAAATTGTTAGTTTATCTGCAACTAGATAATACCCACTTATGATCTTGGAGTTTGTGACAAAATACCTGAGGTGGTTTGCAGGGAGGAAAGACAGCTTCTTTCAATTCCCAGTTTTAGTGATTTCAGTCTATAGTCACTTGCCCTTCAACCAGAGTAATACGTAAGAGAGCAAGCCAGTTTATCATATAGAACCAATATAGACACAGGAAGTTGATGTAGTCCCGTAATCTCAGTTTCCCCCAGTGACTTAACTTTCTTCCACTAGGCCCTTACTTTAAAAGCTCCACCACCTGCCAACAGAAGCACAACCTGGTGACCAAGACTTTAGGGATGTCCAAGATCAAAACTATAGTAGAGCTGTTTAAGTCTTTGTCTTGAAACATATTTGCCAAGTTCTATACAACTGTAAAGCTTATTAGTTTAGAGTTAATTTGTTTGCTACTATGTGTGAAATTATTCAAGCTGTCTTTTCCTTCTTGGAATATAATGATCATTGGTATGAGAATGTGAGTACTATTAAAATATATAGAGCTTTCCCAAAACCCATTCACAAAGTAGAAAATATTAAGTTTTCTTTTGTTCAAGTGGTATTAGGATGGGTGGGGACATTGTTTCTTAGTCTCCAGAATCTAGCTTTCACATGCTCTTCTAGGTAAGTAGTATCTATTTGATGCTATAATTCTGCATTTGGCATAGCACCTCCCCTCCCTAATATTAGAATGGTAACTTGGGAGATATTGACAAAATCACTATTCTGTAGACTATCTTAAGGGGAAAAGAGCCCCAAGCACTGCACATATAACCTGAAGAGCTTATAAGAGAACAGAATTATACAAAAAGTATAAATCTAACCTAAAAGAAATGTCCAAATGAGAATAAAAGCTACAGAAAAACAAATTTGAGATCACCATGAGGCCGGAGATTCTTCTCTAAAGGTAGACAGGCTACAAAGCCATATCTAGCAAAACTGGGAAACATCACCTATGTCATGTGGTTAACTTCCAGGCCCTTTTTTTTTTTTTTTTAGTTTTTTTATTTTTTATATATTTGAATTACAGACAAGATTGAATTACATGACTTCCAGGCCCTTTTTAACAGTAACCTATTGCTTTAATTGTGTAGTAAACTGGAGATACTATGGTCTGCTCTCCTTGCTTCAGTTACTCTGTATCTAATTAAACCATGTTATACTCAATATGAGACTGTTTTTCTTATCTTTAGAGAAAAGAAAAAGGCAAAGGCAAGAGGAAGGTGAAAATAGAAGAAGAGTAAGTACATTATTTTATTAAATTACTGTTAACTGAAACATCTAGGAAACAACCTAAGAATCTTACTTGGAATGAGTGGTTGAAGATGGGAAACAATAGGTAAATGGCAAAGGATGTTTTTTCCCTTTAATGTGTGAGAGTGTTTTGCCTGAGTGCATGCCTTTGTACCATGTACATAACTGGTGTTCAGAGTACACAAGAGGGCATTGGCCACCTAGAACTGGAATTACAGACTGCTAAGAATTGAACTTCCATTCATTTGGAAGAGCAAGTACTCTTAACTACTGAGCCATCTCTCCATCTCTGGGTGTATTTTTTTTTAAGAAGGGGGAATTTTAATACTTTTACATATACACATTATCCTGTCAGATTTGTTCTTTTAAAAAGTCATTAGTAGCAACTTAACTTGAGTCCAACATCCATCAGTTTGCTGACTAAATTATGTATACACACTATTCAGTGGATAAATTCATGCAACTTTGTTAATAAAATATTTGGGTTGCTTGAAAATTAATATGCTTTTTAATGTGGCATTTTTATTTTCCTCTTTAATTTCTCTTGAGTTCTCCATTTGCTGAGACAATCTTCCTTGAGAGGATGAAAAAAAGAAAGAAAATCTATTTACAATTTCTATAATGTTTTAACAGTGACATGTTTACTCTGGAAAGTAACTAAGAGGAAATATCATAGTTGTCTTTGCATGTTCTAGTATATGCCATGTAAAAGAAGATTTGTATATTGGGTATGGTGGCACATACCTTTAATCCCAGCACAGAGGCAGAGACAGGCAGATCTCTGAGTGCTAGGCCAGCCTAGTCTACATTGCAAGTTTAAGGCCCACTAAAGCATAGTATGACTATGTCTCAAAATAAAAAAAAAGTATTTTTTAAAAGATTGGTAGATTTGTTCATTATTTCAAAAGTAGATGTGTTCTTTATTTTTAATTAGAACCAAACAGTAGACATTGCTGGAGATAGATTTCACCTTCTATTAGGACAGTGGTTCTCAATCTGTGGGTCATGACCCCTGGGGTCAAATGATCCTTTCACAGGAATCACATATCAGATATTTACACTGCAATTCATAACAGTAGCAAAACTATAATTATGAAGTAGTGATGGAGCTAATTTTAAAGTTGGGGGTACCACAACATGAAGAATTTTATTGAAGGGTGGCAGCATTAGGAAAGTTGAAAAACACTGTATTAAGATTTCTAACTTCTACAGTTTACCAAAATTGTAATAGACTGACTACATAAATATAAAAAATAATGCATTCAAAGTGCCAAAAGTATCTAGCATGAATATATCCCTGCTTGTACAAAACACTGAATAGGTGGCTCTCAAATGACCATTCCAATTAAATAACTATAATGTATAGAATCTCAGTTAACGAGACCATACTGTTTTTCATGATAACTCCTAAGTCTTTATGAGTCAGTTTTGTTATACTTGTATACAATGTTAGTTACAAGAAAAAAAAAATGACTTATCAGATCTCTAGTATTTGTAGCTTGCTCAAGTAAAAGGTTTTTTAACATTATAACTTTTACATGGTCAAGGTAAGCTTGCTATCATGTGTTTTTGAAGTTTTAGATAGACTATGTTAATATAATCATAACCAGCAAAATGTTTTTGTTAAAAATTAAGTTATAAAAATTGATTCTAAAGACGCTGTTAAAATTATTCTGATTTCCAATGAATTTCTCATGAAAAATGGTTATGTTACTCTGCATATAGAATGTTGACTGTATAACTTTTGTTACATATTTGATTGGGCTGCTTGCCCTAGGAGTGGAAAGAACGTTATGGACACAACAGAGAAGATTCCACTAGGAACAGAAATGTTCATCCTGACCCCAAAGAGCCAAATTTCTCAGATACTACTACCAATTGGTGTAAGTAGCTTATTTCCTAGTTTTCTTAGGAATTGCTTTCTTAATGTTTGTGCTACATGTAAACCAAAACCATACCCATCTCTGGACTCACAAATATGTCCACAGTGACTTCCCTTTGTCATAGCCCTTAGTGTGTACAAGGAAGGGGAAATGGACATCAGATAAGTAGTTGTAAGTATATGAATCTAAATAACCAAATTATTTCCAAGGCATGTTCTAAGAAGGTACTTATTTCTGCTATTTATCTTGAGTTATCTTTGCTTTTCTACCCGTTAATGTAAGTTGCTCATTTATTTTTATAAGTATTGGCTAACTCATATTCAAGTGCTTTCCAGTGTATACAGTGAGAAAAAAAATAAATTTCTTGTTCCCAGGATGTTCATAATTTAGGAAAGGACTTAAGTTAGCTATAAGCCCCCTACCACTGGTGTGAGTTAAGAAACCTCTGTGTGACACTGACACAAGGAAGAAACAAGCCCTTTGCCCTTGGGAAGATGCCAGGAACCCTGTTTTTGCATAGAACTTTACACTGTAGGAGACAAAGTTTTGTCTTTGGAGAAGATGAGATATTGCTGAAGAAGCTGCACTGCTAAGGCTTCTGTGAATAAAGTTTTGTTTGCGATTGAGGCTGAAGCAGGAAATCTGAGCATCCTCTCCCACCCAGCTGTTCATTTACACAGCAATAATGTGCTGTAGAGGAGGACCAGAAGCATGGGTATCCTTTTAATGGTCTGAGAGTGGACAAGTACTGAAAACATCCATTTGCATTTGAGAGCCATCTACACTCAAAGAAAAACTGAAATGTGTAGAGACTTAAGATAACTAAGGCAAAGTCTGAATTCACAATAGGTACATTAGATTAATTCAGTCCCTCAACATGGGTAAGCCAATAAAAAGAGATGTGCCCCATTGAACTGAACTTCTATATTCTTTCCAATGAAATGCCTGCTGTAACAAAAGGTTCTGAGGAATATAAGAAAGTAAGATATGGCCCATCTTCAAAATAGGAAAAAGTAAACATACTAGGCCTAAATGTGACTCAAGAATTAGAATTATCATTCAGCTCATTGATGAAAATAACTAATTAGTATGTTAAAAGATATAGTGGGGAGTTTGGATAACATGCTTAAAAAGATGGAGAATTTCACCAGGCAGCTGGAAATTTTAAAAAGGAACTAAATGGAAATGTTAGAAATATTTTAATGGCAGACTCCAATGATGTTGCACATGTCTAATGAGAGTTATTACCAAAGAATACACACCTTATGCTGAAGGAAATTACCTTGGGGAATAGAAAAAGTGTTGTGTTTTAGGAATGGATATTTATACCAAATATTTCTGTAATAAAAAATTGAGCTGAGTATTTAGAAGTGAAGGATAGTTACCCAGATGAAGAGGGTTTTAATTTGAAAAACAGTAAGACATAGTGATGGAAGAGAATGTTTGGGAAGGTGTGTTTTTCTCATGACTAGAGTTTAAGGATGAGGAGGCTCAGAAGACAGACCCCAGAGAGTTCAAAAACAGATACTGTCATGTTCACAAGTATGGATTTTTTATTGTTGGTAACATTTTTAACTTGAGAAGAGACATGATATTTTTTAATTTTACTTTTTATTATTTTAAATATTCATACAATATATTTTGATCATATTCTTACTACTTTCCCATCTCCTCCCAGATCATAAATACATAAGAAGAAAAAATAAACACTTAAAAAAATTAAAACCAACCAACCAACCAACCAAACACCGTAAAGTATGTTTTGTGTTGGCCAACCTTTGGTGAGCATGATACCTGCCCTGGAGTTCGGTAGATAGACCCATTGTCACTCCATCTGAGGAAAACTGATTTTCTCTCTTGTAGCAACTGTCAGTTACAAATAGCATCTTGGTTATGGGTGGGACTTTGTGCCTGCCTTTCCTTCTGCATGCTGGGATTTTGTCCACTATGAACATGTGCACATTCTATCATGGTCTGTGTGAGTTAATGTGTGCATCAGCTCTATTGTGTCTGGAAGATGTTCTTGGAGACATTCAACAACTCTGGCTCTTGCAATCTTACCGCCCCCTCTTCTGCATAGGTTCCTGAACTTTGAAGAGAGGGGAGTGATATAACAATATCCTACTTAGGGATCAGTACCTCAGAGTCTTTCACTCTCTGCAAATTGTCCAATTGTGAATCTCTATATTAATTACTGCACGAAGAAGCTCTGTGGTGATATTTTGTTTGCGCTCTAACAAATAAGGCTTTCCTGAAGATCAGAAGGTGGAGCTAGTCACTAGTTAACTATAGAGACCAGGCAGTGGTGGCACAGACCTTTGATCCCAGCACTTGGGATATCATGTCTTTAATCCCAGCACTAGGGAGGTGGAGACAGGAAGTGATATGGCTGGGTGAAGAGAGGATGTAAGATAGGAGGAGACAGGAGCTCAGCTCCTTTTCATTCTGAGGATTTTGTAGATGTAAGAACTTTAATGACTGGCTCCTTTACTTCTCTGATCGTTCAGCATTTTTCCCAATATCTGACTCTGGGTTTTTATTATTAAGACCAATTACAATTCATTCTACAAAGCTCCTCTGCTGCTGAGGGTTCAGCAGTGCACCAATCGATGGAAATAGAAATATGTCATTAGTAGTCATTTTATTGCTATATTCACTTAGAATAATAATAGTAGATTTTCCCCTAGGGTCCATCACCTATCCAGTTTCAGTTTCTTTGTCACTTTAGTGGTGTCAAATATGGGTTCTATTATGTGCAACAAACCTTAAACTGAATTTTAAAAATAGTATTTGGCTCCTCCCATAACATTTATGCCACTGTTGCACCAATGGGTGTATTTTTCAGACAGGTTGCTGTTGGAACTCACAGGTTTCAAAGTGGGATAAGATGGATGGTTACTTTTCTCCTCCAGTAACATGAATAGTACCTCCCAACACTATGGCATTAGCATTAGTCAGTAGGGATAAAGCTTCTAATTGAGAACCAGCTCAGTTTCGCAATGTTCAATGATAAGAAGCATGATATGTTAATTTTGTTTAGAAAGCATTGGATAGTGAGTTGGAGAACCACTATTTGCTACAGGAATAAATGCATGAGAGAAACAATGAATAGACTTAGGGTGAATGGACTAAACACATTCATGATTAACTTTGAGTCACCAATAATGCCTTGATGTCAAATTAAGAAAAAAAAAGAAAAGCACTTTTCCATGGACTCATTTAACTTAGAATGATTCCAGATTTGAATTCTCTACTTCATACTTACTGGCTTCCATCCTCTGTCTGTCTATGGTATGAGTCTGAATCTACACCTGCCTGAAGGCTGCCTTGTGAATTTGTCCCTGTGTGAAGGTGTGTCTTTCCAAGGGTATGTGTGTGTGTGTGTGTGTGTGTGTGTGTGTGTGTGTGTGTAACAAAGGGTTTATTATGTATTTATTGACCAGCATAGAAAGAATCACCTAGGGAAGGAATAGGATACTACAGTTTCTCTGTGTATCCTTGGCTATCCTGGAACTAGCTCTGTATACCAGGCTGGCTTCAAGCTCACAAAAATCCATCTGCCTCTGCCTCCCTAGTGTTGTTATTAAAGGTGTACACCACTACCACCTGGCTGTTTTACAGAAATCTTTAACAGTTTTTCAAAGAATTCAGTCACTGGTTCCATCTGATCCCAACAGACCCAAATAACAAACAGTACCTCAAACATCAATATTTATCAACCAATATCCATGGATAGATATTCATTTTAGCAGATTTCTTTCAACCTTTGTATTTACTGCTTTTAACAAATGATACACATACATTGTCCCTGGTCAGGGACATGGATGAGTATATGACTTAAGATTATAGCTATGTAATACCCTAAGATGTAAAAATTGATTACATGGGAAATCCAAAGCCAGTAAGATTGTTACATTGCTGTCTTAAATGAACAGACTGAGTACACATAGGATAGCAATAGAAGTGACCTCGGGGTGTGTTATTAACACTGGCTGGGAGGTCCAGCAAAGGTTTCAGTCTCTTAAAATGTAATAGATATTTTCATAATATTGCATCACCACATTAAGAAAGAGACCAAGAAGACAAAAATATGATACAAACATCTTGTCTAAGTTTTCCAAAAGAACTGTTTCATAAAGTTGAATCTTTTAATCTCTGTGTATGTATATGTGGGTTGTATATGTGCATGCACTTGAGTGCACTGCAGAGGGCATCAGATTCCCCTGTAGCTATGTGACATGGGTGCTGGGAACTGAACTCTGGTCCTTTTAAAGAGCAGCAAATGCCCATGACAGCTGAGCCATCTTTCCAGTCCCATATTTTTTTTAAAGATACTTGGCTGCCTAAATGAAGACTTGGATAATGTAAATTGTTTGTAAGAAATTCATGTGGAAAAGGTAGACTTACTGACTCTGTAATGACCTACATGGCAACCATTACCCACTTGGGACCACTAACACTTGTGATATAGATTCCTCTGTATTTGCAATATTTTAAATCTATTAGGTTAAGAGTAGATAAATTATTTTCAGCAGTATCTTTTTACTTTTTAATATGGTGGATATTCAAAGTAAATATAAACATATATTTTATTTTTGTTGGCCAGCATTGCACTTTTTCTTGCTATATAGAAAAATATTGTCTTTTCTTCAAGAGTTGAAGTGATTATATCTCAAATTTCTAGCCAAAATAAATAAAAGTTCACTATGAAACCAAATGAGGTTTGATTTAATGATAAACAACTTTATTATGGTGATACCATAATTCAATATAAATTCTAATTTTTACTTTCTAAATCTTCATACTACCTACTTTGAGCTACTAGCTAAATGGCTCAAGAAATTGTCCTCATTAGTTTGTATTACACTGACATAATTTGAATCTTATTTTCTAAGAATAAAACAACTTAAGTTTCTTGTCTTCACCATTTAGATGCAGTCTTGATTTTTTTTTCTGTGATCTATAAAGAGACAATAGAGAATTAGCCTTTTTTTTTCTTCTTCTGAGCAGCATCCAAGTACACCAGGGCTAATAACAGGACTGAAAGAGACCGAATAGAACTTCTCCAGGATGCAGAACCTTTGGATTTTAATGCAGAAACATTCACTGATGATTCTCTGGAACCTGAATCAGGAAGGTAAGTTCTGGCTGGGTCACTTGACTGTAGTATGCCTCTGAAATTTTAATGGTGTACTGAGCTTGAAAACAAAAGATAATTAAGTATGAGAAAAATATTAGGCTAAGGATAAAGTCTGGCGGAGTATGTTTGTCTGGTATGCACAAGGCCCCAATTGCATGCTCAGCATAGCAACAGAGGAAAAAAATTCCTTTTCACTATTAATTCAAAAATTTGAAGTAATGTTTAATACCTTTGTTTTGTTTTGCTTTTTGAAACCAAGTCTCATACAAGAAGGTTGCCTTCCAGCTTGCTGTGTAGCTGAAGATGCTTTTGATCTGATCTCCTTAAGTTCAACTCCTGTTACAGGCATGCACCACCACACTCAGTTTATCTAGCACTGGGGAGTTAAGCCAAAAGAGTTGTATATCCTAGGCAAACATCTACCAACTAAGCTATATCCTTAACATTTTATACCTTTTTACAACCTCTAATTATTTTATTTTTGAAAAATTAGGACATTTTGCCAGATGTGATGACACCTGCCTGTAATGTCAGCATTTGAGCAGCTAAGATAGGAGGAACAAAGAGAGTCTGAGGCCACTCTAAATTTATGCAGTCTCCTGAATGTGTCTTACATCACCCACTTTGTTTATGTCTGTCACTCTGTGATACATGCATATATATATATATGCATGTCTTCAAAACAGTTGCTGGTTGATTTACAATTAAGTCCTTTTGGATTATAATTCTGGAGATAGGTTCTACTTTTTGCTACTGAATAAATTTTACAGTCTTTACAAATTTTGTAATTACTTCCTTTTGATATTTTCTCATTTTTCTTTTCTCTTATTTTTGATATTTTAGATCATTTTTGTATGTTTCCCTTTTAGGTATCAACCTGGTGGACGCTATCTCTCCATGTCTTCCAGCATAATATTTGAAGATATCTGAAGTCTAAAGAAATTCATGGCCCAAGTAACCAATGTCATCACATCAGCTCAGCCTTTATGAACATCTTTGTGCCCTACAATTCCTCTGTTCTCCCTGTGAATATTAAGGATAACACAAATGGCATTGAAAATGGATCACATCTTAACAAAGTTAGCTTATTTTTGCTTGACTAGAGTATCATCTTTCCTGATAGGATTTATTACATACCATCTGAGGTGTCTCCCTTAGAAGTGCAGTTAAGTGGAAGGATTCAATTCATGATAAGCATAGAACACGGTTGGTTTCAAGTTAATTTTTCTTTCAGGGGAGTTTGTTTTTTTTTTCTTTTGGTTTTTCGAGACAGGGTTTCTCTGTGTAGCTTTGGAACCTATCCTGGCGCTCGCTCTGGAGACCAGGCTGGCCTTGAACTCATAGAGATCTGCCTGCCTCTGCCTCCCAAGTGCTGGTATTAAAGGTGTGGGCCACCAACACCCGGCAAGGGGAGTTATTTTAAAGTCCAAGGAAACCATAAGTCATACTAAATACTACAATTTTATAGGTATAATTAAAATGTATTCAACCTACATTTCCCAAAGAAGTGAAAGTGAACTGAGACCTCAGATAATTACCTTATTCACAAAATTCACATCTTAAAAAAGGCTTCCTTATGAGACATAACTGAATGTAAACAACTCTTCTTCTGGTCTGTATACAAATTAATGGGATTTTGCATGCATAATTAAGATTATTCTTCAATTGATAGTGTTAGTGTCTTTAGCATGTGTATTCTAATTTGGTGATGTGTTAGTCTTTTCATTCTTTGTGGTAACTGAATCTTTTTATGGTTTTGATATTACTGCTTTATAAAAAGATTTTCATTTCAGAAAAAAACATTCACCTTTAGCATTTAGCATATTGACTTGACACTGATCATTCCAACCAAGAAAAAAAAAATAAGTATTAATGGTAAATAATATATATATATATATATATATATATATACATCCAAAAAGTTACCCAAGTTCTCTAATACTTAAAAGATGCCTGTTAATAGTCCTTGAAAAGAAAATGTCTGGCTATTTTGGCTATTCAGAGGTAAAAAGAAAAATAAGCCATTTATGATTATTGTTAGCACTAAAATTGTAGCTTAGAAAAAACAGAAAAATGTATTAGAATAGAAATGTATAGTAATAATTTCTTTGTTAAACATGCTTATTATTTTAAATTGGTAGTTTCAACCTTCACATTTAAGCCAAACTTGGGTATTACATTTTAAAGAGCAAGTGTTTTATTACAAAGTCAACATGGTTGAGTGCAACATGTTTGCAGGGATTGTTTTATGGTCCTGAAGTATTTGTGTCTCTTAAAGAATCCATTCTACATGAATGACCAGATTTGAACTTGTCCAGAACAGTCTCCCATCTTTTTCCTTACAATTATTACTAGGGCTCAAGTGTTGAGGACATAGTTCTATATTGGTACTGAAAGGAAGGATGCATCATCCTCATTATCTTTCTTTTTTAATAATTGCATTTTATGACCTTTCAAATAGATCCCCCTTTAAGTAATTATCAACAGATAGATTTATTCTGAACAGATGGTTGCATAGCCTGCTTAATTCAAGGACACGTAACGCATATAAGCTTTTACTGTGAAATGTGGTCAGAAAGAGGTTGACCAGAGCACTGATAATGTAATGCTGTTTATAATTTCGTGATTGGTTCCTGGAATACATTGGGCAGATCATGGAACCTTTCAGTGCCTCACTTTCTTCATTTTCAGAATGAAGGATGTATTTGCTACTTACATACTGATCTACCTCACGAAACTGTTGTGAGGGGTTAGGTTGATGTCTGTGTGCTGGGGTTCTGCTGGGCTGTTTTATTTGTTTGTACTTTTTTAAGTAGTACTTTGAAAGGGATGATTATCACAGTAAGGGGTCTTTGAGAAGCTTTAAAGTTCCCAAATTTGTTTAAAGTCCCTGACATAGTGTTTCATCATTTGTTCTGTGGGTTTACTTTGGAATATTTTTCTTAAATACATTTTTGTTAAATTTTTTTTCTTAATACTCAGACGCTATTGTTGGAATAGAAGGAAAAAAAGAAAGGTCCAATTTTACAACTAAGTTTGATAATGCACTAAACAAATAGATAGGAATGTGTAAAGGAATTTGGGTATTTTCTTTGAAGGTTACACTAATAGAAGCATACATATATATGCTTACATATGTATGCTTCACAGATAATACTGGGTCTTGTTATGGCTTTTGAGTTATTTCCACAGTGAATTTTTGCCGTTTCAGTGATCCAGAATGTTCAAATTTTTAAAGCGTTTCTCTTACTGGATTTTGTACGCAACTATCAAGAAAAGTTACTTTGCTGGGTAAATTTAGTTTAGAAGGCAATGATTTCATGCTGGGAGACTGAGTTTATTTCTGATGGATTACATTAATATTTATTAAGCCACTTTGTGTAAATCATTGGTAGCATGTACAATATTTTTATTTTTTGAGACTTATTAATACATAAAGATACAATCACAGAAATATTACTACAGAGTTCACATGCTTTATGTGCAAAATGATTTTCTTAAAGAATTATTTCTGGTACTTTTTATGTCTTTCTTACATACTAATAAGTACTTGATTAGGATTATCTAAAATTTTGGTTTTTTGAGACAGGGTCTCATGTAGCCCAGGCTGGCCTCAAACTGTCTATATAACTGGGGATGACCTTGAATTTCTGATCCTCCTCCTTCTCCTCCCACCTTCTAAGATTAAAGACATGTGCCACATCACCGATATCAATATTTTTAAATAATTGTTAGTTAAGAATACTTAACTAATAACTCAAAATAAGCATTATAGAAAAAAATCTATAAATTTCAAGAATCATTTATATGTATTGTTAATTTACTTCTTAAAACTACATAATCATTTTATTAATTGTACAATTTTGTAAAAGAATTTTAAATAAGAATTAAAATATAAATATAATTATATTTGCTATCATACCACAATCATACAAGAGTTTTAGAATAATTCCATCCCACAAAAGGGTTTCATTTCATACAAGCGGTGAAACTTAAGTCAAAGAATGAAAAGTTCCCATCATAAAAACTGACCAGATTCAACCATTTAAACATCCAAAAGGAAGTGTTACTTGTTGGTGTGTTTCTGGCCTCTACCATTTAAATTGTCTAATCTAAAATCGAAGCATAGTATATGTCCAAATTAAGTGTAGGTGGTAGAGTCACTTTTTAGTGCATTTTTGCATTAGAATGGACACATTTCATTATGCTTATTTATAGGCCTCATTTTATATCTTTAAAAGGCATAGAGAATGTTTTTGATAGTATATTGATTATCATATTAAGGGAGAAATAAAACCTATAATTACAGTTCAGGCTATAAAGTAAGATTTGTACTTTCTGAATGAGCCATGTCTAAAAAAATCACAAGGATGAAAATATATTTGTACTAAGAAACAAAACATGTCCTTGAGAAGTCATAGCACACTTGAATTTTCAAGGTGCAATGGACTATATAAATTTAACTTTAAAAGCTAAGAAGTAAGCATATTTAGGGGTTTACCTTTCTTTTGTGCCTCCCACTCTCCCACCTTCCCTCCTTCTCGCCGCTCTTTATTGACTTTTAGTATGCTGACAGATTTTTCTCCTTTGTTTGTCTTATGTACACATTTATTTTTGATGAGCAGTACAGACAAAAGGAACTACTTCTGACTTTAAATCCCATTACTTGAAATGGCAGTATTGTACCTAAAGTAGTAAAACAGACTGCTGGTCAAGCGAACAGTGTTTGTCTGTATAGAAGCATGGTGCATACTAGCTCAGTGCATTTTCTTTTAAGTGACTAAGGAGAGCACTGCAGTAAAAATTATTTTCGCTATAAAAATTTGTATAAAATTACTTTAAAATGCCCAACATTAAGAACTGTGAGGTATTTTATCATAAAAAGGAACTTATAAAAATACTCATGTTTAAAAATTGAACAAAGAGTTACAGGGGCCTTTGTGAAATCTGAATTTTTTTACTTCTGGATCAGTGACGTTTTGTGGCTATTGACTTGGAAGACTAGGCAGGTTTAGCCCAACTTCCAGCCCCTGGATCCCAGCACTGTGAGCCCTCTACCCAATGGGGTAGGCACTACCCTCCTTTCCACTGCCAAGGAAGCAGGCTCACCTCTAATCACTTCCAGATTAGCCAGTGTAACAACACTTCAATGGATTTATCCATTGAGATCAGGTGTCATATTGCTGTAATTTACATTTTTCTTAGTAAATAAGACTTGGTATAATTCTGTCATCACTATCCTAAAAGATGATTTGGTTTCTTCCCCTCAAACCTTTTCTTTGGCAGTTATATTGATTATAAATAATGTTGTAAAAGAATTTTACTGTGTTTGGTGCACAAGTGTAGGGAGAATAGCTGACTGTGGCAGACATGTAAGGCAAATCCACAGCGCATTAAGTGCACAGCTTTTGGAGTTGGCATCACGGCATATGTCTTCTGTCTTTATCAGAAGAATACTGCTAACCTCTTCCTTGTTTGGCACACCGAGTTGTTGGAAGAGACTGTGTTATTTATTTATTCTGTTAAGCAATCCAATGGATTTGTTTTTGTCTATATTTTGGGAGCAACTTGAAGGATTTTTCTCATTTTAGAAGATAGAAAATATGTATACCTATCTTTTAAATACTGTAACCTAATATATAAATTATAGCATTGAAAAGTAAAATATCTCTAAGTATTGATGCTGTTATTTCCTGGTATTTAATTTTTATAAATGTTTTGTAAGTAAGTAATTGTAGTAATTCCTTTTAAATAGTTTTAAAGTCATCTTTAAGTTCTGACCCAACACACTGCCTTAGTACAATATTCTAAAGTGCAGTATTCTGATATGGATTTGAAACATGCCTGCATTTCCTTAGTTTTTTCATATGTATGTATACATGCACCACACACCAGTACCCAAGAAAAGCATACCATAAGCCTAATTTCCACATTGCATTGATAAAGAGCTTGGTATTTTGCTTTCATATAATTCAGTTGACTAGATGAAATAGAGCATAAATCTTTTCAAATTGTATCCAGTCACAACTTTCAAAATGGTAACTCTTCATTTTTGGGGTGCATGATGCCAACTTTATCTTTCATCAGCCTTTATTACTGGATATTACTGGATGTATTCCTACCTGGCCAGTAGGCTGTAAATTTAACTATTTTTCTGTAGATTCTCACTACATTTTCAAATCTATCTTTGGAAAATACTGCAAAGTGCTATCAGTAAGTAAGTTAGCATCTTTGGCCTTATCTGTGCATAATGTTCCTTAGTTTGATTTTGACAAACTCATTAACTCACAATTCCTTTGTAGTATTGTAACTGACTGTGATGTAATGAACTTTTTGAAGTGTTTATATGATTCATTGTTAAAATATAGGATATTATGTAGCTTTGCATGAAATAAACTACATTTCTATGAGCTACAAATTGCTGGTTATTTATGCACCTTACTTCATTGAGATTAAGCTGTTTAGAGAAGATCTAGGTATTCTTTATTTATTAAAATTCACTGTCAAAGTTTATAAAACATTTAAAAATGAATAATTAAATAGGTATACTCTTAGTATCATCTCTGTCTTGTGTTACAGTGAAAACAGAAGTAAAAAGAAACTTCATGTTAATGGCAGTGAAAATGGAGAAGCAATAGAAAGTTAACAGAACCAAAGTTGGCTGTTTGAAAAACATCAGTAAAAGTGATAAAAGTCTAGCCAGCCTAACCAAGAAAACAAAACAGGTTTCTTTCCTATGTGTCAGATATAAACAATTGGGATTTGAAATTTAACATACTGTAACATTTCTGTTAGTCCCCAAATGAAATACTTAGGTGTAAGTCTAACAAAATCTGTACACTGTATATTTCAGAAAAATTAGAAAATTGATGAAAGTAAACAGCTAAGTGAGTGAAGAGATAGTCCATCTTTTGGCTTAATAGTTTATAGATATAAATTTTTTCCTAACTTGAGCTTCAAACTCAATGCAATCAATTCAAAATCATAGTAAATTATTTTGTGGATATTATCAAACAGTTTATGGAAGAAGCAAAACTCTACAAAGGTCAAATTGATATTGTCCAGAAGCAAAGCCTACAAACACTACCTGACTTCAAAGTTTATTGTAGAACAGTAAGAAGGCATGGTAGAATTGGTGGGGAAATTACCAGATGATTTGATTCAGAATAAGGAACCTAGAAATGAATGCACATGAGTAGATTCAGCTGATCTATGATAGAGGAACAAAGGCAACTTTGTGGAGAAATGAGTGTTTTCCACAAATACTGCTGGAATAGTTAAGAAAAGTATATTACTATAGATGCCAATCTGACACTTTCTACAATAATTAAAATCATGGTTCGGAAGCTCAAAACTATAAAAATAGGTTACATAGTGGGTAATATTGGTGATCTTGGGTTTGACAATAATGTTTGGATCTCACACCAAAATGAATTCACAAAAGGAAAGCTTGGGGAAAAAAAAGGTTAGAAAGTATTCATTTCTTTTTAGGGGATGGAGAGATGGCTCAATGCTTAAGAGCACTTACTGCTGTTACAGAGGACCAGGGTTTGGTTCCCAGCACCAATATGGCAGCTCATGACCACCTACAAACTCCAGTTCTGGGGAATCTGATGCCCTCTTCTGGACCCCATGGGCACCAAACCTTCATGTTATACACATACACAATCAGGCACACATACATACACATAACATAAATATAAATTTTAACACCCTTTTAAATAATCACTTGTTTTTTTAATATTTATCACACAAAATTGTGTTTTGTTATGAGATATACAAATGATTGTATTTACTAGCTTCCATTTTCCCAATAGTTTCTTTCCTAGTCGGTCATATTCCCCCTTCTACTACTTTCATGTAGTAGAAGTGAGTGAGTGAGAGCACATGACACTTGTCTTTCTGCATCTGGCTTATCTGACTTAACCGTATGATCTCCAGTTCCATCATTTTCTTTCAAGTGACACAACACTATTCTCAGTAGTTTGATAACACTCTTCTATGTACATATTCCACACTATCCATTGATTCATTGATGGACACGGACTGTTTCCATAATGTACCTTGTTAAATGAATAGCTGACAGATTTTCTCCCACTCTGGGCTGTCTCTTCACTCTTGTTGCTTATTTTACAGAAGCTTTTTAGTTTAATGCAGTCCTGCCTGTCAGTTCCTATTCCTGAGTTAGTGTTTCTATTGCTGGGAAGAGACATCATGACCATCACAACCACTGAAAGCATTTAATTGGGGCTGGCTTGCAGTTCAGAGGTTTAGTCTATTATCATCATGACAGGAAGCATAGCAGCATGCAGGAAGACATGGTGCTGGAGGAGCTGAGAATTGTACATCCAGATCTGCAGGCAGCAGTAAGAGAGACTGGGCCACTAAGCCTAACTTGAGCTTCTGAGACCCCAGAGCCCACCCTCAATGACATACTTCCTCCAATAAAACCATACTTACTCCAACAAGGCCATGCCTCTGGATAGTGCCACTATCTATGACCAAGTATTCAAACACATGAGCCTATGGGGGCCATTCCTATTCAAACCACCATAATGCCTATATCTTGAAGTGTCTCTTCTGTTTTTTCCCTTTATTAATGTCAATGTTTCAGGTCTCATAATCTGATTCCATGAGGTTTTTTGTTGTTGTTGTTGTTCAGGATGAGAATTAAAACAAAGACTGTTGAGTTAATGAAATGACAAGCCACAGCCTGAAAGAGTATTTTCAAAAGACAAAGAACTTAAAATAAGCCAGGTGGTGGTGGTGGCACACACCTTTAATCCCAGCACTGGGGAGGCAGAGGCAGGGAGGTGGAGCTCTGGGAGTTTGAGGCCAGCCTGGTCTACAGAGCAAGTTCCAGGACAGCTAGAACTATACAAGAAGCCCTGTCTTGAAAAACAAAACAAAAAATCTTAAAATATGCAAGGTATTCTTAAACTGAAAAATAAGAAAGCACACAGTCTAATTTAAAAGTGGCTAAAAAGTTTGCACTGATACTACATATAGGAGATATGCAGGTAGTAAAGAAACCCTAGAGAAAATAATGCACATCATATGTCATTAGGGTTAGAGTTAGGCACATAAGGCAACAATGATGTGCCATATACAGTCCATATGGCCAAACTCTCAAACAGTAACCATTAAATGCTGACAAAGGGTATAGAACAACAGGTACAGTGATTCACAATCAGTCACTTTAGAATAGTGCAGAAGGTTCTCAACCACATGGACACAGCCATGCCTTATAATTTGGTAGTCATGTTGGAATTTATCCAAACAAGTTGGTACTGATGGCCACATAAAACCCTGCTGTCATGTAAATGCTTGTAGCAGCTTTACTCATAATTGTCATCAATCTACCCAACAATTCTATAGAAGTTCATATTATTTTTTCCATGTATCATTTGTTGGTCTAAAAAGTTTGACTAACAAATTAAGAGTGGCCAAATCATAGATGATTGGAGTCATATCTCAATGGAATGATTCACTTATGCCCAGATTGCAGGGTCCTCCAAAAACTTATGAGGTGACTGAGCAGGAGCCTTTATTTAAGCTCAAGCATAGACTCTCCATCTGTCCAACACAGCGGTTGACAGCAGAGAGTGCCCAGCCCAGGCAGGGTAGAATTGTTTTTTTAAGTTTATTTTTCTTATTAATTTTTTACATTCCAATCCCACTACCCACCTCCCATCTGCTCCTCAGAGAGGGTAAGGCCTCCCTGGAAATCTACTAAGGCTGTCCCATCATCTTGTTGAGGCAGGACCAAGGCACCTCTCCACCCCCACACTCCTGTATCTAGGCTGAGCAAGGTATCTCTCTATATAGAATGGGCTCCACTAAATCAGTTTGTGCACTAGAGTTAGATCTTGGACCCACTGCCAGTAGCTTCACATATTGTCCCAGCCTCATCATTGTACAGAATCAGCTAACCTGAGCTAGTGAGAGATCACTAGTCTCCCTTAATATAAGTGACAATGGCATGGTAGAATTTTTGTCTTAGTAGAGGGTTGGGGGTGAGGGGACTTTCAGGTTCGAGACCCTGATTGACTGACATTTAGTCAGGGATGGCTTGGTGAAAGGGGAATAGGTGCATGCTGGGATCAAGAACATCTGGTGACCTTATATAATCTTATCTAATGGCTGGGACATTTGGAATGTCAGGTACTTCCCCTTAGATGCTAGCCCTCTCTGGGTGGTGTCAGCTTATGGCTTTTCCTGGAACATGATGCTACCTGCCAGGAAACTGAAACCCAGGCCTACTTTTTAGCTGATTTTTATTAAGCATGCCATAGCAGCAGTGAGCCCAAGCTGTTCTGGACCCCACAGAAGAAAATAATATATTCTAAAAAGACATTTTAGTGACTGTTCAATTGCTGTGAAGAGACATGACCAAGGAAACACTTATAAAAGAATGCATTTAATTGGAGGCTTGCTTACAGTTTCAGAGGTTTAATCCATTTCATCATAGCAGCAGCATTATTCGTAATAACCAGAACCTGGAAACAACCTAGATGGCCCTGAACCAAAGACTGAATAAATACAATGTGGTATATTTATACAATGGAGTATTACTCAGCGGTAAAAAAGCAATGACATCATTAAATTTGCAGGCAAATGGATGGAACTAGAAAAAAAATCATCCTGAATGAGGTTACCCTGATCCAGAAAGACAAACATGGTTTGTACTCACTCATAAGTAGATGTTAGATGTAAAGATAACCAGGCTACAATCCACAGCCCCGGAGAAGCTAAATAACAAGGAGGACCCTGTCCCTCGCCATCATGCCGGCAAGAATCACACAGGACATTCGGATCCTTCTGCAGGAAAGTTTTAATGCATCTTGAGAGAGGAGAGCATAAGCTTACCAGAGCGGAGACCCCGAGCCAAGAATCCTGTCCCCTAATAAAGGCTGGCAGCGCTGCCTGGGACGTGTCACCCCTATGATTGGCTTTAGCTCCTCAGGCCATATGCGCCACGGAATAGGCAGAGATCAAGGAAATGGAAAATTACCCAGCGCCTGCGAAATAATTTACATTCAGTGCCTGCAGGCACCATCATTGCAATGGAGAATGCAGGGACGGCTCCCTACATCTTCCCCCTTTTTTATTAATTAATGATAAGGGTTTATATTTTTACAAGCAAACAGGTCACCCAAATGTTGAGGGATAGAGGCAGAGGTTGTACCTTCCCAATCAAACATTAAGACTGTGTACAAGAGTCGCCATCAGGCTGTTAGCTTGACCCGAAGCGCTCTCGACCTGTCCTCTGCCGTATTTTTGGGAAAGGGAGACTAGGGCAGGCAACCCTTATGCAGGACAACATGCCTCTCAGAGAAGCCTGCATACTGGGCAACTCTCTGTGCGATGCCTTGCTCGACATCCCTCATGGGCTGCTCAAGCCAGGCACTCTA